GTGTCCTGCATTTTCAGGAAGCTTATTCTCTACGTACAATCGATAACGTGCTTCGAATGCATGTGTAGTGGCTACATCCTTTCGAAAGCTAAATTGCGATGTCAGCTCCCGTATCCCAAGCGTGCTATTTGATTATCGCATTGTAAATGAATTTGTCGCGAACTGCACATTTTAGCTCAACAAGCGAAATTTTTTCAATTTTTTCAATTTTGTTTATTTCAACTTAACAAACGAATTTTTCCAATTTCCTATCGTGATAGCAATACATTGTTTCATGATGCGTTCTATTTATCAATATAACATTAATTTCTTTCTCAAATATGTATTGTATGCGAAAATATCGAGAATTATTAATGTTTTTCACGATTTTTAATTCTCAGTATTAAATATCTTTGTAACTTGAAATTTGTTAAAGTAAAATTTTTAAATTAAAGAAGGGAAATTAAATAAGGAAGTCTTACTATTTTTTATGTTTTAGTCTTTATTTTCCTTTATTATCATTGCTTTTTATCGTCAATGTTAGAAATTAAAATATTAAAATCTTCAAATCCCAAAGCTTTTGTCAATTATAGTATTCTTACGTAATATATATTGTCCAAATTAACATCTCTTTATTAATTATTTTACTATTTTATTTTATTTTTATTTACTTTAAAAAATATGAAAGAGAGATCTTTTTATATTATTACATCTAGTAACGTTCCAAGTAGTACTTAACTAGAATTTTAATTAGAAAGAACCACTTAATCGTAAATATTATACAAATTATTGTTGTTTTTTCTTTTTTCTTTCATCAAATAAGGTATTTACGCGAATATGCATCTTTTCATGTAATGTATGTACTATTTCTCTTATTTCCTTTTACGTATTCTCATTTCACAGCAGAATAACGTGACCATCACAAAGGGAAAATCTACTTATATATTTCTGAGTTTATTCAGTTGGAATCGTGATGTATATAAAATTGCTCGACATATTTTAAGAGATGGTATATACGCGAACTTAGCCAACAATGACTGGAAACAAAGAGACGGAATCTAAGTCTGATTCATTTGTTCTTGTGTAAGACTTTCAGATATTTATTTATTTTTGTTCTATCTTTAAATCGTAGTTATTTGCTCTTTGTAAAAATGTTTTGAGAGAATGTTTTTCGATATTTGTTTATTATAATAAAATTTTTGCATCACTTTTTGACACAAGAAAAACAAAAGAAAAATTTATAATTTTCTGTCAGGAAAATAGTTGTTCTCTAAATAATCTATTTCATATACGATAATCGCATTTCGCAATTGTCCAGAAGAATCGTTCCGGATTGTCACGTCGAACGATAGTCTTTGTTTTATCTGGTACAAAGGAGAGAGAGAGAGAGAGAGAGAGAGAGAGAGAGAAATGGAAATAAATTGTGCCGACTGTTCCGATAAGCTGTCGATGCTGCGAAATGAAAAGGCCGAGCAGTTCGTTTGTTATTTATAGCCCATCGTAATTCGAATCGGTATGAAACGGTTTTTGGGGACAAATCAACCACCGACCTATATCATGCGCGATTGCGTTAAATTACATGAATGCGAAATTCATCTCTTGAGTCACAGCAAGATACGCGAGCAATTTCCAGCTTTATCGAAATTGTTTTCTTGTAAATGTTAATTCTCTTCTTTTTATTTCTTTAGACATCTGTCGTTTGAACTTTTTTATAATTTTCAACCAAAACAACATCTATATCATCCTGCAAAACTGAACTTACATTTTTATGAGAACTGTTTATTTCAAATTATTTAGAAAAATCATAAATCCTTAGCTTACACTACAGCTTACTATAAATCCTTAGCTTACACTACAGCTTACTATTTTAAAAGCAAATTCTCTAAAATTTTGCAAACCAATTTTTTTTTAAATTAATTTTTTAATAAAAATGCCAAGTCATATTGTTCATTCCTCAAAAAATAAATCAAGACATAATCTAGTTTTAGAAGCAAAAATAATTTATTCTTTTTTTAAATTTAATTTTAAGTGAATTTTAGTGAATCTTAGTGAAATTTTTGCTGAGACTGATTAATTATTAAAATATCTAATGTCTAATAAAGTTGAGAAAAGTGTGTTGAAATTTTTGAAAGAAATAGGACAGTATTTCAAAATTAATGAGAAATATAGAATACCACGACTTTCTAGTTATTTATTTGTTCTTTTTACCTATCTGTTTCTTCGCAACAAAGTAAATGTTCCAATCGTTGGAAAGTGCCCCACTGCGTGATATAAATGTATTTCTTTGCGCTTGCGTTTTCTAAAACGTTCTCACTCTTTCGCTTTTTCAATCGAATTCGCGACTCGCATCATAAAATTTATTGCATATGAAAGAAAATCGAGCGCCAATAATCGGATTGCTCGTTTCTTTTGCACATACATCATTATTCTCGCCTGGATTCATTCGTCGTGACTTCGCCGCGAGTGATTAGTTAATTATCGATCAAGCATCATTAACTTTGCAGCTCGAGGACAATTCGTTTCGTTGTTGTAATCTCGCAGGCATTGCCGCAATTATCGCGCGGAATTGTTGCGCACTGGAACATGAATTGGACATCGCGTACGAGAGAATTTGCGAAATTAATCTGTCAGCATGAAAAGTAACATGGGAGGAGCACTCCTCGATTCGATCGAGGAGATTAAATAAAACATGAATATCGAATGAAACCGTGCTTTTCAATGTTACATTAAGATCTACATAATATTACCGTCGTTTTTTAAATGGAATCAGTGTTATCACTGATAAGTTATGATTTTAATTATAAATATTGCATTAAAAACGATGAAATTTTACAGGGAAGAATAAATAAGAAATAATAGCTGATTTTTCAATGAAATCTTTTGTCAATCAATAAATTATAAGACGGGAGGAGCAAAGTGTGTTTTTTTTCAATGCTTTATCGGTGACATTTTCAACAATTCTGTTTGAGAACAAATATATTCTTACACGAATTTCACTGGCGCTATACATTCGTTATGATGCTGTCATGCAACCGTATCGCCACTGACATTTAAAATCCATATAAGAATATTTGACGTTACGTCGACGTGATACGTGTAATAAACAATATGTTTTATTCCAACGAGGTTTCCCCTTGACAGCACCAACTTTGTGTCGACGCGAAGGTTACTTGGCCGCCTCGACTTATTTTCTTTTATCGTTTGCGACAGTGCATATCAGATTGAAATCTCAAGAATGCTTATAAATTTATATATTTACATTTCTCGATACTATGTTTCTCATTTCATCTCGAATATTGATTCGACCGGCTTGATTGCTTGTCTGCAACGCGAAGAATGTAAGAGAAGAATTCCAATCGTATTCACTTTCGAGTTTTAATAACATCGCGAGATAGAATTTGATCTCTTGCACGAGTGCGTGAATGTGCGTGAAAATAGTGGAAGGGGGAATTAAATTTATCTTGCTATGCTTTTCTCCCTGAGTATCTAATTTCATGAGAGTGCTGTCATAACGTGCCACAAGTATCCCCTCGATAAGGTACAAAGTCCTATGTGTGCGTAGAGTAATTGTAGACTTCGACTTTTAACGAAGTTCGAGTGTAAATCTCTATCGTGTCAAGGGCTGATTATAATAAAACTGACAAAGACACCTGCGCCGGGGAATGTTGATTAAAGTCGAGAGATCTCCTTTGATGTAGAAGTTTCGAATTTAATCCCTATCCTCGTGAATGATCGAAGAGCTGTTTCCATGCGTTAGTAACATTTCAATCCCAATTGCAAAATGGTTATCTGAAAGTGGTTTCATGGAAAATACGAAGAGACACTCGTTTTGTTTCAATTACCATAGATATACACCTATATTATAACTATCCTAAATTTCAATTTTATTCTAGTAATATTAAAATTGCGTAAAAAAATATTTCGCAAATATCAGCACGCATTTCTAATATGATACATTGAGAGATACAAAAGTCATTTTCTATCTTGCGAGAAAATTATGGAAAACCTTCCACGTGCACATAGACTTCGATTAATTGTCTGAATTATAAATCGCTGACCAGCTTGTTTTTCGTAGCGAGGTTAAGAGAAAAATAAAAAGTCGGAGGAAAATGAGATTACTTTTGCAAGATTGCGAGATTTCTGTATTTCTCGTTTTAAGAACTCACGTATTGGGCATTTTATTCGTTTTACCATTCTAGAATTAAAACGAGACGCAATAGCAACGTAGTTCCGATAAAAGCACCCTCTCTCACAATAGTTCATTAATCATTTTCGAAGAGCATAAGTCGACGTCGTCTTGTATGTATAACCGCACAAGTAGCGACTATTAAATCGCGTTACGCATGTCTGAAATACATTGTGCGGTACAATTTACGAAGGGGCGAAGAGGTGTAAAACGCGGTAAGATCGCGGAGAGCAAAGCCGACGCAATCTCAGGCTTTTGCATTCTCGGCCGCATCGCGTACATATCTGTGCGTGCTCTTACCATTCGTATCCGGATATCCTGGGCGTAATTAAACTATTTGAGGGATTAAAGCGCCCTTTCTCTCACATCCTATCTCTCGCGGAACTTTCATCCATATAATTGCCTGCGAATGTAAGGTCGATTAAACTGTCACGAATAGTGTGAATTACATTTGCGGGAAAATATCGTTGATTACTCGCTTGATATTTATTTATGCGATATTACATTAACATTGCGAATGTAACATTACGCAGTTATCTCGTTGAAGTAATAATTCGTATGTAAATTTTTAAATTATTATATTTAAATTATTATATTTAAATTATTATATTAAATTATTATTTTAAATTATTGTATTTTGATAAATTATTTTTTTATTCTATTTATGTTTTTGTTTACGAGCAAATTATTGCTATTTATACTTATCGTCTGTAATTACGTGAAAATAATTGGCGATAGACTCAGAGTTTTTTAAATAATAAGTCTTGTAAACTGACAGAAAACCCTTTCTTTTATTTCTTCTACATATTCATGTACATGTCATAATTTGTTGCAGATAGCGAAATTGTTTTCCTATACGTGGACCATGGGCATCTTCCTATGCAAAGTTGTGCATTACATGCAGAGTGTATCGGCTATCTGCTCGGTTGTCACCCTCACCGCGATGTCGGTCGAAAGGTAAGATTATACCGTTGTATCGCTTTTGCCGCGATAGGGATCATCCTCGTCGTTCGATTGTATGCATCGCTGTTATAATCATATGCAAAACGGGTCACTTGGGTAGTAAACATCGAGATTGTCGTAAAAGATTGCGAGCGTTCACGTTGTAATTCAATAACGTTCTCGTAAAATAGATATCTATATATGTCGTGTCGTAACTGTCTGCATAAATTGACCGGATTAATAGAGTTTTAGATTTATGTCCAGAGCGCGATCGTTTAAAATTGCATACTAAATTTGAGGGCTCGCCAGAAAAAAATGGTACAAGCATCAGTTTTATCGGACGTGAATTCAGAGAACGTAAGCGGTGAATAGAAAATTCTTGTACAAAAAGGAAAATGATATCTATTAAATATATTATCTCTCCTTTATAATGATCGTTTCATTGTTGTATCTTCGCATTAATATGTTGATAAGAATGTAATATTCGCAATGGAAACTGCTAATGCAACTCGTGCTCGACTTAATGGGACAAAAGATTAGTGCGAGAAAATAGAATGAACTAAACTGCGTTCGCAACAACAAACGTTATGTATTCGAATTACCGTGGACAATGTATGGTGATATGATAGAAATTTCAGTGTCGTATGTGAATAAATTGCTATGAAAATCCGAGAGACATACTTTGTAATATAATGCCATGCAGCACTGTGTTATCAAAGCGTAAAAGCTAGGCAACGTACAAAATTTCTCCCTGTCGAATATAACTCCCTTTTATAAAAGCCGCTTCTTGTATTTCCTACAAACTTTTTTAATTTCAGGGTAATACTGAGCAGAGAGATAGAATTCGACATTTAATTGTACTGCTTTTCCACAATATTATTTTGCAGTATTATTGCGCGTAATATATGTCATATGTATGATACATGTGGCAAGTATTTTTTCATATTTTAAAAGTATTACGTTTTTTTAAATAAAAAACTTGGAGATATTTTGATAAAATTTTTTGAAAGCTTCATTATATAATATAAATTTTTTGAAAGATTCATTATATAATATATTCATAAAGAAAGACTTACGTCCTTTAAATATTGCTAATATTGCTAGATTATCGAAAGCATGGAAATAATCTATTATATTAAAATCAAATAACAATTAATTAATAAGAATCGTAATTGATTAATAAAGTATAATTTTTAGATTTATGTCATTATATATGAGAGCGCGATTGTTTAAAATTGCATACTTAATTTGCGGGCTCGCCAGAAAAAATGGTACAAGCATCAGTTTTATCGGACGTGAATTCAAAGAACGTAAGCAGTGAATAGAAAATTCTCATACAAAAAGGGAAATGATATCTATCAAATATATTATCTCTCCTTTATAATGATCCTTTTATTGGAGCATAACAATTGAAAATTTTGTGAAAAAATTTTTCGGAAAATGTTTATTTTATCGAATTTTTTGTTAAAAATTACATCAATATTAGAAGGAATTTAATTTATTTAATGATTCTTTATTTTCGATTTATCTCGCATCTACTGCAGTAATGCAGTAATACTATCTGGATTTTACAAGGATTTTATCATTGAAAATGTGCAGCTAGATTGTCACGGGTGCTTCGTGTTGGCGTTTAAGAAGGATGTTCTATGACCTTCTGGCAAGAATATGTTGAGGAAGAAGCGCCGGAAGGAGACCTTCTTCCGGCGCTTCCATCATTTTAGACGCGAGCAGACCACCCTTCTTTTATTTCGCTCAAGCGACATAGTCGTCCTACATAACGATCTTTGCGATCTTCTCTATCTCCCTCTTTTTCTCTCCCTCTTTTCTTTCGCGATTCAGTTCTGTCGCGCGCAATTGAATGACGACAACGTGAAGTCTTTGAAATTGAATATTCACCATTAATTCGAGACGAACGCGTCGCTCGCTAGGTGACTTACAGAAATCCTTATCGAAGATGTTTGCCTCTTTTTCGCCTCGCGTTATCCATAAAATTGAGAAAAGGCTGAAGGGATTTTCTGCCTTGACTTTTTTTCTCGCGCCATCTCGGATTCCGACACGACGTCTCCTCGTTTTTCAATTGGCTTATTGTATTCCTACGATTTAAATAGCGTCGGAGAAACACGGAAAAATTAATTATGCAACCTCCTCTGGCACGGTTGTTGCATTTCTGCGAGAGAATGGCGCATGTAGTAATTACAATACAGGCGCCACCGGCGTCCGATTATTCCACTACTTGGCTTTAATCCAGGAGTGACTAGCGATCTTCACGAAGAAGATCGAGTACGGTTTCATACCCTTTTCCGTATTCAGGTCACTAGCTAATAACACTGTAATCTAATAGCAATTATTTTTGAAAAGCGTCGTTCTGAAACTTTCAAGGGAAAAATGTTACAAGATTTTACTTTTATCGTATTTATTGTAGTTACCTTTTTTTTCGCGAAAATCCATAGCTGTTCACAAAGTTTTACGGAAAAAAATTGAAATATTGTATATATAATTTTGTTTTATGGATATAAAAAAGATATTTAATAACGATATTTAAAAAGCAGTAAACTCTTTGAAACAAATAGATTGACATGAAAAAGATTTTTTCGAAATAGAAGAAACATGATGCAGGAAATGCGCAGATTGCTGTACTCAGCCATTTTTCTGAAAGAAACATATAATAAGTAAGGTAACTCTATAAAATGAAACAATTTTTCACGATGTCACGATTCGCTTCAACTTAATTTCATTACGAGAGTTTCGCGACACATAAATTTGTTAGCTGCCGGACTTCGTTTACTTATAGTGTTAATTATATCACGACATCTGTGGAAATATATCCCTTATGACTCGCAAAAACCATTATTTAGTTGTTTTCAGTCCCAAATTTCGTTTTACATGCATGAAAAATTTTTTATGAATTTTAAATTGATTATTAAACATTCTTAATATAATAAAATTTTGGTGTGATATATTTGCACAATTGAAGATCTCGACAATGTCAATATTCTAGTGGTGAAAGAAATATAACTCAACAAATTGAATCTTTGTAATTGGATGTCAAAAAATTCAAGTTGAAAATTAAATTAAAATTTAAATTAAAATAAAAATTAAATTTAATTAAAGATAAAAGTTTAATTAAAGATTTTGAAAAATTAAAATGTAATTAAATATTTTTAGATATACGTATATATATATATATATATATATATATATATATATATATAGTAGTATATATATATATATATATAGTAGTATATATATATATATATAGTAGTATATATATATAGTAGTATATATATATATAGTAGTATGTATATATATATATATATATAATATATATATATATATATATATATATATATATATATATTGCATCATTGAATTATTAATATCATTCGTAAAGTATTTTTATTTGCTATTTGTTAGGAATTTAATTCACGTGTTATGATTATTACAAAAATAAACTGTTTAACAGATTAAATAAATCTGTAAAATAACAAAATAGTACGATCAATTGGTCTTTATATATATATATTGCGGTCTTTATATATATATAAGCTGCTTAAATAAATTTAATTTATCAGTTCAACAATAGGCTATAACAAGGATTTTAAAATACTTAACATAATACTTAATTATACAATTGACAGTTATGTAACATTAGTGCGGAAATCCACATGCAATAAATATATACTCTTTTCAATCGATTGTATGTTCTTTCAATGTATATGAAAATATAAATAAACAAAAATTATGATTATAAAATTTGAGATATAAATTATCACGCTACGTATAAATATCAGGTTTATATATTAAAATGATCATGTTGCGTAAATATCAGATTTACATGTTGTTTATAGTATTATAAATATGTTTGCAAAGGTCAAAATAATACAAAAAGTATTTAAAATTGTAGTTTAATATAATTTACTATCTTATACATGTAATAGTATCTTTATCATTCAATAATATCTTATACATGTCAAATTTGTCTAAAATGCACTTTGTATAATCGAAAGGTAGGAATAACAAGAAAGTGTTAAATTTTTGCAGTTTGAGTTATTATCATCGATTGATATTACATGTCATATAACAAAGACGTATGTGCTACGCTGAATAAATAAAACTAGAATATCCGTAAGTTAAATTAAAAGTAGCTAGCTTTTATTTTATCATGTTTTTTAAAAATATGTTATTATGTTGCATTTCTTTCCTTTATAACATACATTACACTTTTTATATTAAAAGAGAAAAGTGTGTGAGGTTTATTGTATACGCCTTGCTAAGCACGTGAACGATTGGAATGGGTGTCGTTTAAAGATGTTATAAACAATAGCAGATGCTTGTCGATTTTTTAAAGAAATCGAGTTTAATCCTTTTTTTATTTATTCCCCATAATACAAATGGAAATTTAATTTAGAAATGATCCCGTTTTGAAATTCATTCAGAGTTTTAAAACACTTCATTACATTAATGCAGTTTATGATTTGATGATAAAAAAAATTGTTGAATGTGAAATGATGTTCGTGCAGTTGCATATTCGTGATCGTAAAGCGCAAACGTGGTTCGAGGAAGATAAAAAATCGGGTTGGCTGTTTGACTTCCGCCACCCTTATCGACACTACCGATTGGCACAACGCGAATACAAACGGTCAAGCAATTTATATTCATGTGATGACGATAGCACCGAAAACAAGGAGGAGATGGCCATTCTCGTCCCTTTTATCCTCCGTTGCACGCGAATAAAGGAGGGAAAATTCACTGACGGATATCTCCGTAAATGAGAGCGAGTATGCAGGATGCAGCATAAATGCTTCAACCGTTTTTCCACCCTATTACGCGATTTGGTCTATTTATCCTATCCACTTATTATATTTCTATTCTCCTCTTTTCACCGTTGAAGAGATCGAATCTAAGCTTTTTTCTCCTTGAGTAAAACCTCGTAACTGAATTTTTCTCCATGATTTGAGCCTCCTATCTATATGCAGTTTCGCTCAGGTGTTTTTTCTCCATCCATTGGACAACCGCAAAGCACTTTTTACAATGTAATTCTTATGAAATCTCGAAAATTTTTGTTTGATAAAGCTTAGGTTCTCTGTTTTAGTTAAATTCTCTGTTGTGTGCTATTTTCACGATAAATTTTTCTATCCGTTTGGAATTGATCTTTTCCTTACAAAAATTATCCCATTTATGTTCATTAAAATTATCTCATTTTTTATTTTGTATTGTAATTTTTCAATTATTAATATATCTTTGTAAATTTTTAAAATAAATTCTTGTTAAGATTTACTTGAAATTGATTTGAAAAATATGACTTTGTCATTTACTTTTTCTCGGGATTGAAATCCCTTTATTTTTAATTATTATAAGATTATAAATATCTTGATACCTTGATATTTTTGTTGAGAAAAAGATCAATTTTTAAGTGTAATCGAAAAATTGATTAAATTAATAAAATGGTAGAAGAAGGATATATAGAAAAAAATTAGTAACTAAATTTTACAGTATTTTATATCGAAGAAAAAATATTTTTAGAAATGAAATCTGTGATATACATATATTTTTATTTGAAAAAGTTTTCTCTCTTAATTAAAAATTATTAAATTTACAAATTAAATTTTTTAATTTTGTTTGGGATTATTCCGCGTAAAAATTTGGCGAATATAATTCTCTCTCTAAATGTTCACTTTGAATGCGCGATTTCAACAACATATACCGCAGTAGTTGCGGGTTGAAAGTATATGGTTAAGTATATACAAGATAGTCGACTTGAGTGAGATTCCATTTTGGACGCACCATTTTACGGCATAATAGTTACTCCGAGATAGCTATTTCGAAATATTTTTGACGTGATGCGCAAATGGAATGGCCCGCGCGGTTGATCTCTTAAACCATATAAGTTATCATCTCTTTTCATACCGCAAACAGAATGCTCTCTCTCTCCCTCTTTCTGATGAAATATACATAGATTAATATCTGCATCACATGAAATGCTACTTCCCAAATAAAGTATGTCGTAAGATAGAATGCTATAAATCTAGAAACGTTACAAGAATCACAATTAACATATGAAGAAATATTTCGAAAATATTTCACGCAATTGTATTTTTAATGTTTCAATAGTGATTCATTTAATAGTGATTTATCGGTAAAATTTCTTAATAAAATTAATGATTGATTATAATATTTCTTAATGTATTTTAATTAAATTTAATTGTTGTGGCATTTTATATCTTTGCATTTGTTTTATTGCAAACATAGATTTTTAATAACAACATAATAAAAACATAGATTTTTAATTTTTTACTTTAAGTACCTGAATATGTTACTACATACATATATATATTACTACATATTGATAAATATGCTACACACATGTTAATGCTTGTAATATAACTATTTAAAATTTACATAATTTTGTAATAATTTTAATATATTGTTTCAGATATTACGCAATAGTGCATCCAATGAGGGCGCAGTACACGTGTACCATAAGTCAAGCTCGCAAGATTGTGATTATAACTTGGATTGCATCGTTTCTACTGGGAATTCCAATGATTTTTACACAGGTACGCGTTCTCTCACACATCTGTGCTTTAATTAAATTGCATACCATTGTTTTTATATCTCTTCTATTTCTAGCATTAAATCTCTTTAACTTATCAAGTAATTAAAATCACATAAAAATGAAATTTGCTTAAACAAGGTTTTGTTTTTCTACCGTGGGAGCTAAATGAAAAACATTTTTTTATTCTCCATCTTTTTATGATGTGTAGCAATTTCTTGCTAAGGAGGAATTGATTGGAAAAAAGTCGATGAGAGAAACTACGCCAGTAGATTTCAATGAATTAATTTAGGATTTATATGCGATAGAATTTACAACACATAAATAAAGCATTAACCAGCAAACCATTTGCTGTAGATTTGGAAAATCATTCTGCGTATATGTGTTAAAAGTGTTATAGAATACATCACCAATTCAAACAATATCATTTATACTATATCAAACAATCGAGCCTTCGAGCGATTTTTTGCTGAACGCAAATAATACGTCCGAAGTAATATATTTGTATATATAATTTGGCATTGACAATTATTATTCTATTTTGCGTGGCGTGTGGTATTGGTTAATTTTGATCGCGTATGCAAAGCGACGCTCAGCAATATTTCACTTACACTAGATTTCAATCAAATCCGAAATCCGAGAACGATACGCCCTACAATAATATATTCGATAAAGCTGATACATCCGCTCTACCCACTTACTTTGAGAAGCGATGGTTTATCTGATGGTTTATCTGACGGTTAAAAAAAGATACACCGTTAAGCCGGGATAATCGGCTGCGTAGTGGAAAATCGAGGGAATCCAACGTGATTGGATTTCCAGCTGGCGGAAGCTTCTCTGAAGCACGTGACATTTTCGTGTGAATGGGAAGCTTGATAAGTACATCTCATTATCTGTAGGTGTGTCTTAGAACTATCGTTAATGACACTTTAATCCATACTCGTACTTCGCATTTAACACTAAATACGCCTTTCGATACTGAGTATTATCTTATATGAAGATTATCTCGTATGTGTTATCTAAAATTGAATCACAAGTATTAAGTAGGACTGAACAGATGGAGAGATGGAGAGATGGAGAAATTTCAGAATTCCCTTAAATTCTTTAAATTCTTTCTTCTTCTAGAGAGAACTTTCGAAGCCATTAATTGGTACGTCCCCACGTTCGTTCAATCGAATAATGTTGTAACTTGCAACAATTGTATTTTACACGAAAGAAGAATGTTTCAATAAATCACATCAGAGATAAACCAATTATAATCCCTTCAAGGGATGAAATGTATAAATTTGAAGTTGAAATATATAAATTTATTTTTAAAATTTTAAATATAATATTCTTAAATCAAAATTAACCGATAGATAAGTTTATTATACAAAAGATTCTTCTTTTTTTATTCTTGCCAAATAATAAAAATGAACGATTGAAGTAAATGAAATTTTTTCGCAGATGTGGCATAAAAGTTATGGAGTCGCCGAGAATGAAACGCAAATGAAGAAGAATTCAGTCCGAAATAGAAATACTTGTTTAGAAATGTTATTCGTAAAGCTCTTGACAAAAATTATTATTCAAAAAGGAAAAAAAAACATATAAAACAGTTGCTTTCTATTTTCAATTTCTTTTATTTCAAACATAATTTTCTCGAAATAATCCTTGATAATCCTTTTATTTTTATTTTCCAAAGTATTTATCAAAGATTAATAAATTTTTTATTGTTTATGATTTTATCTCAGATCTCTCTGCCTCTCGTTGAGAGATCTTGTAAAAAGATGACATATCTATATTCATGGTCAGATTAAAATAAAAAATATATAAGGCCGTTTTCGATAGCAAAAGTTTTTGTTAAAAACTGAGACGATTTATTTAGCTTTAGTTTAATTACAATTTGTAATCGTTCTTTTATTTTTCTTTTTGCAAAAGAAAAGAAAATATAAAAATGTAAAAGAATTCTCTTTCATGTCTCAGATTGTTCCGTAAATATCCCATTATCGGATGTATAAGATTGTCCTCTTGGTTGTATCCAAAGAAAGAGAATCACGTCGTAAAGGATTAATAAAGCGTGGAGCATGGACGCTGATCCTTTTTACGGCGACGTGAAATAAATGGCGAGGGTGCGATAAAAATCTTCCTCGATGCGCCGACGGAATCTTATCGTCGCTTATATGTAAATGTCTGTCTAACGACTTAATAAACACGGTTATGCGGGACGGAAGGTGAAAAAGTCCTTACGCCTTTTTCGTTAGAGATTTCGGAGCAACGCGCTCTCTCGCATCTCTTTATTCTTATCACTATCTTCTCTGTGTTTCAGACGCATAAAAAAGTCGGAGTGAGATTAATCGCCTATTGGTGCGTTCGTGATTCCGAAGCCGGACTTTTGTGGCGGTTTCATGAGGTTTATATGTTGGTAGTAGTCCTCATACTGCCGCTGACCATCATGGCATTTTGCTACGCGACCATCTGCTGGGAGATCTGGCGCGTTATGAAGCGGCGGTACCATATGACGTCGCGACACGCGTAAGTCCAGAGAAAATGCAGTTTTTCACTTTTCCTCCTCCATTTCCGGGTTTTTAACTGCATGCTTGAAGGCATACTTTTCTTCTGCTTCGCGAGAAACTAGAAAATTTACTCTAAAAACATCTTTTCAGCTTTTAAATTATGTAAGACTCAGATATTTTATTTAATAACTGAATTTTTTAATCTCTATAAATATAATTAAATATAATTTAAAATAATAATTAAATAATGTAAAATATAATTTCCAGTAAAAGTTTTTTTCGAGATATTGTATCGAAAGAAAAGAAAAGAAATCAACAATTATTAATAGAATTGCAATAAAAAAAATAATAATGAGGATTATCTTTATTTTGCAAAATTTCTAACGCAATAAAATTTTGTGAATTATATAAATAATAATTGATGGCTTATTAAAATTATGGGTAATGAAAATAGATCGTTAACTTAATCAGTAGTGCGATATCGTATAATATCTCATGAATTACGCAACATACTCGCGTGCTCGGAAATTTTGTTCGTTTGAATTCTATCGTTTATTCCACCGTGTGTAGGATAATCGGTGAATCCGATCGTGTGCGTTGATCATTAATTTACGCGCGATGTTCGTTATACCATATAGGCGCGGACATGGTAATCCACAAATGGGCGCATAAACTGTTATTTGCCTTTCATAGTGCGACAGCCCTGAAGCGATCGAGAAGCGTGTTTTCTCGTCTCATATGAAACGTCGATTACCTCGTCGCGGACGTCAATCACTAATCATGGGAAAACGAGGAAGAGGAAAATAGTATTTTTCCGACATTTGATGGACGTTCCGTGACACGACGCTCCAGATTTAATATAAATTGCAATCCGATAGTTGGATTTTCGGAAACTCCGTCGAAATTTATATCGAGGTCGATCAACGCGATAATACGCGACGAGGAAGATTGCTTTTCCATTTATAACACGTTTTGCGTCTGCCGTTTGGCAACTGTATATGTCTCGCTATAAAATAATATCGTTTCACGAGATTTCATTCGCGATTCGTAGTTCGTAATATGAATAATAAACGCAAAATCGAAATAAAACTTCATGTTGTCAATCTTTGAATCGAAGAAACGATATAATTAAAACGTAATAAAAAAATAGATGAGAAAATTTAAAACAATTAAATTTAAAACAATTTTCTCGATGTCATCAAATTTAAAAGGAGTAATTTGTCTAGTTTGATTTAGCACATTGTGCATTTTTGCTAAAAATACATAACTTTTGAATTAAAAATATCCCGGGAGGAACATAATTGCTCAGAAATTATCATGTTTGTTTAATTATATTATTAGCTACGTGTATGAATAACCTGTGATATTTAAAGGCAAAAGTCAAATCTATAGCAATTGATCGTAGTCATATAAAGTTTCTTTGGAAAGTGCAGGCCGCAGGCAGTTTGCTTGAAATAGATCGAGGGCGATCGGCAAATATAATGGCATGAATGCGGGAATGCGCTTGCACTTTATGGCTTGACTTGACTTCGATTCATCGTCTTCCTCGCGTCTCATAAAACATCTTCGCAAGTGCGCGTTTCTAAACAACCACTCGACATGTGCAGTTGGAAATAGCTCGAGAGATCTCTTTGTTCCATTAATAATTGCAGAAATTTACTACAAAAGATATTTAGATTACCTAATGAAGTTGAAAGGTTCTTGCATACTTAAAAAAAGAGTTATTTTTTGTTAATTAATATAAATTAATTATTAATTAATATATAGAATAACATGAATATATTTCTGTTTGCTTTCGAAAAAGAATAAAAAGTATATTTAAGATTTTTCAAGATGTTTTCCAACTCGTCGCAAAAATTAAACGTAAACGAAATCAGCGTATATTTAAAGAAAAGGATGTTTTTTAAGATAATAATAATTTTCACATAATTACTTTAATTAATTAAAAAATGCAATCAATTTCAGTTTACTTAAATAATGATTTTTTGATCGAGGAAAATGTAAAAATATAAAAATTTCTTTAGAAAATATCATGAAAAAAATCAAATGCATAAAAGAAGGTATTTTTAATTATTGCCTGTAATCTTATTGTTAAAATATTATTATCGATCAATTTAAAAAAAGGAATTTTCCTGAGATAAAATTGTTGTCATATGCTAACCATAAATTCCATAGTAGACAAAATTCAATTCCACATTTCTTCTCGATCTTTTATTTATGAATATGTATGTATGTAATATACAATGAAAATGAAGAAAGAATGTTTAAAATTAATAAACGCGATATGCAATTATTTCTCTGAAATTAATTTCCTAATTTATTGTAATGCGCATTACACAAATAAAATCCTAAGTCGCCTTAAAGCAATATAAAATTACCGCGTCATGTTTTTGCGCGTTGACGAATATCGAGACTCAAGCTCGCGCGGTCGCCCGAAGGAGTCCAAATAATAACAAATCGCGTATTTAATTAAAATCGCTGTTGGTCCGACCTTGATAATAAAAATAAAAATATTCTGACAAAATCAAGAACATTCGAGAAAACCAGGGGTATAAAGACTTCTCCAGTGAACCGCATTCAATCTTTCTTGAAGCTTCTCAGTGATAATGTGTCTAATTCGTTCGATAAAATCGATTCGTCGGGAAGGAAAGTCGTTTTTCTCATCCATCGCTTGTGGATCCCGATTTTGATCAATTTGATTTTAACTAAATTATCGTTGCTCACGATAAATTCACTTCATTTCCGCAGAATCAAGTTGGCGCCGTTTCTTTCCTTTTTTTTTCGTCTTGCGTAACTGAATCTTAAAAGTGTAAATCCTGTAAATAAATTAATTGTTAATGGAAAATATATTAGAGGATTAAGTGCTATAAAATTACTTTTGACTTATTTGACTTTTCACTCGCGCATGTGATCTCACAATGTGATGAATATACTGTTTATATTACATATATTATAATAATTTTTTATTAAAAGCTTTTTATGAAAAATTTAATTTTTATTTTTATTAAAAATGATTAAAGTTATTAAAAATTAGTTATTAAAAATAGTAATTATTAAAAAAGTTATTTAGAAAGTTATTAAAAATAATTAAGCTCAAGTAATCCATAATTGTAAGAAAATCTGTTTGAACTCTCTTTATACTTTACTATCTATTTGCCTCTGCTTGAAGTTTAGTTAGCAGAACAACTGATTTATTTTTGATCCATTCATTCCAGAACCAGATGGTGTATGACATTGACAATATTAACAATACGTGATTAGTACGAGATCCTCTTGCACACAATCATAGCGCAGTTTTAATCTGTTTTAGATTGAGTCCAAACAGCGTGGATACAGAATCTATACCAATGACGCAACGACAGAGTGGAAGCGAGCGTAAACCGCGTCGAGAGGAGAATGACGATGAATCACGGACCATGAAGCAGGTTTGATTTTGCAAATTTTCCTATGTTTACATGTTGAAAAATAGATAGCTAAATTTACAAGAAATTAAATTTACAAAACGCGCGTTTGTAGACTCTCTCAATAATCAAATCATCTTATTTCTATAAATATGACATTATTAATTAATTTTAAATTGTTCCTTAATAATTGAAATTTATCAAATTTATTAAAAAAATTCAGATTTCAAAAATTATAATGAAAAAAATAATTTTTTAATTTTATATTAAAAGAAAAGAAGAGAGCCATTTATAAAGATCATAAATCGCATATAATCGTGACTAGATTAACGGAGAAATATACCTTCAAGTTGTACACTCGAGATAAAATCCACGTTCTTCACGATAAATTCTATTTGTGCTTCGGTATATTTCTATACTGCTGCTGTATTAAAGTGTTCCGTATACTCGTATTTCACATATAGATCGTATTGACTCCTGTAAGTGTCGGAAAATAGTTTTGTGACTGCTCGAAAATGCTTTATCAACAGGTAGTGAAGATGTTAGTGGCTGTTGTGGTGTTATTTGCGATTTGCTGGGCCCCGATGCTCATCGATAACGTGCTGACTGCTTACGGTATCTTGCCACGTATCAAGGGTGGGACGCACAAGCATCTCAACACCGTGTTCCAATTGATGGCCTACTTTAACAGGTATGTACAACCATGGGTTTGTATCGGAGATTAAACGCTAGAGAGTCGTTAATTTAAAACCGATCTCTCATGCCTACAGCAACTCGTCTTTCACGTAATCAAAACCATTGCGGAGGTTACTGCTTTCATTTGCTTTTCATTTGCTCGTATTATCAGTAGAGAAAGTGTCTTGCTGGTCAGACGTTAGTTCCGTTTCGCCAATAAGATCGTATAGTCTATAAATGAACGTGACATGTAAATATATAGAAGGAAAGGTACATGATGGAAAATCAATATATTTTTTAATTGTTTATATTTAGGTAGGAAAATTGATGAAATGGCAGAAAAATTAAAGTGAAATATTAAAGTGAAATATTAAATCTTTGTTCAGAATTTTTTAAATATTTTTTAATATTTTATTTTTTATTATATTTAATATTTTTTAAGTTAGTATGCTTTTGATTTATTATACACCAAATTTAAATTTTTAAGCAATAGTTATTTGGAAAATTTATTGGAAATAGATTTTTTATTTTGATTATCTTTTGTTTATTACGTAAATTTGTTTAATATTTTTTGAAAATAAATGTTCTTCAAAATATTAAAGTAAAAATTAGTTAATGCATTGTAAATATGTAAACTGATGTAAATTTTGCACCTGGGTTGAAAACAACTAAATGTAGAAGGTAGAAAGTAGCTCTATAGTATAAAATAATCAAGTAGAATGAGAGCAACGTCACTATTTATTAATTCATGAAGTTATAATTTGAATACAAGAGTCCACAAAGTTAGAAACTTTGCTATTCCGTATATGTTGTTGCATATTTATATCTCCTCTATCATTAGTGAACCATTTGTTATGCATAGAACATGAATTACATTTTTTGAGACAAATTTAACTAAAATTATTTTTTAATGCGCATATGCAGTGCTAATCTTCGCAGGCTACGTTTTGATAGTGCAAATATTTTCGCGACCATTTTTTTCGTAAAATATACAAATATAGACAATTTTGACTCTTTTGATATTATATAAAAATATACATAAACGTATTAATTGGATTTGATGTTTGATCTTTCCGATATGTTGTAAATTTGATTTGTGAAAACTCTTTTATGAAATATTTATTTGATTTATTTTATATGCTTTTGAATATACAATTTGTTCTTATGAAATTACGCTATGTGGGTAAATTTGTAGTTAGAATTGAAATTTTGATCTCTACATTGAATTGCGACAACTCGGTGAAAGGACGCGTGCGGAATTATTTTCACCAAATGTGCGTACTCGCTCTTCCTTTCATGTCACTCATGTCGCTTTTTAGCGACATACACGCGATATAGAATGATAACTGTAATAGCTATCTCTACGAACACATCGTATCATTTTGATAACAACCTCTGATTAGCTTAACAAGTCATGTCGCTGCTAGGCAACAACATTGAATGCAATAGATAAATTGCATACTATTGAAGTGATTCGGATCGTTGCGAGAAAACATTGCATTCCCAGCTTCGTGTGATTTATTTCGTATCGTCATCTTCAAAAAATTGATTTCCTTTGCCCTTTGAAAGAAAATTGGTATTATTTCTTTTAGTCTGCGTATCTTTTTCCACGGAAAGTGACCGTACATTCCTTTCACGTAATTTTATTTTATGCTTTTAATTTGATTTGGTATTTATTGAAACACGAAAAGTCTTTTTTACTACCTTCCACATAGTTTTTTCGATAAATCGCTTCTTTGACAAATCTCGTGTAGAATTTTTAGCAAGAAGAATTAATTGTAAAAAATTTCGCTTTGAAAAATATGTAATATTGAGAAATATTATATCCTTACAACATGAATAAATAAACAAAATTTCGTTGTCTTTTTAACGTGCAGTCGAGTTTACCTTGATTGAAATTTAATTTGGAATTTAATTAAAGAGACAAAGAGAGATATCTCATACTGAAAATTTATAATCTTTTCTTTCTCTCTCTTTCCTTTCCTCCCCCTCTCTCTCTCTCTTTTAAATAAATAAAAAATTTATATTTAAAGTTAAAAAATTTTTCTTCTCTTCTGTTCAAATATGCGCTTTTCTCAACATTCGATAAATGCTTCGTTTTGTCGTTTGAATAGCACTTTTAATTTTGTATTCTAGACAACATTTTAAATTTTGTATTCTGGACAGAGTTCTTTCATTGAGAATTTAGATATTTTTTCTATAACAGCTCTCTCGATATTACAAATACTAGAGATTGCCAGACACTAATGCAATACGACGATTTAAGATTACAAAAAAAAAACTTTTTATTGATACGAAATCAAATTACTAATCGATGTGTAAATAAAATGCATCACAGTGAAATTATGCATAATGCAAATTTAATCTTTTTATCTTGATAAAACATAAATTTTTGAAATAGTGATTTTTCTGTGACAGTTTTTGTATATCACAGTTTGTTGTCAAGATAAAAAAATTCTTTGAAATATCAGATTTATCTTAAATTATTTTTACAAATGATAAAACTTGTTGGATAGAGAAACAATATATATTTTATTTTATGAAATATTTTTGTAAAGATTTTTACATCTAAATTCTGACATTTTATATTTTCGATTATTATGTTATAAGTTCGGTAGCGTTAGTTAAGCGAGAGATACTATCTCAAATTTTAAAGTAGCTCTTAACTTTTCTCGATTGGACGGAAGGAAAAATCTTCGTAGCGGAGTTTAGCAAGTTTTTTAAGTTTGACCTGTCTTCTGGTTTTGTAGATATAGACATCTCTATCTGTACTTCGAGACAGTGTGGGAGTTCGTATTACTAGCAAAAACTGGACTTGTAAAAAAAAAAGTAATACAGTTTATGCTTGGGTTGCAAACAAATTTTGATTTTGCAAAAGCTTCTCTTTTAATATAAACTTCGAAATACCGGTCTTTTATCCTTAAATCCAGTTTTACTACTATTACGTTCTTTACTGCGACTATCCCATATTTCTGTAGGATTAAGATCCTTGAAAATCCTTATATTAATTAATTGATGGATAGCCAGATACACATTTGACATATAAAAGTATAAGATAAAATGGCTCTCATTATCTTTTAATAATAAACTATAATTAAATATAATTACAAATTGAATACACGAATTTCAAACATATTAAACAAAATGAATCATTATTATCATAATTTTGTTCAATTTCGCTTATATTTCATAACTCTACTATAACGTTTCTAACTTTTAATTATTAAGTTATGACAAATATTATTTCCTGAGAAATAAAAATATTTTTTTTATTTGGAAAATTACAAAATTTTTTTTAAAACATTAATATATATGTATATCTAAAAAAATTTTATTTTATTTTATTATATGTAATAAATATATTAAATAGATATTATTTTAATTTTTAATGATAGATGTCATGTGAAAATAACCCTATTCATATATTCGAATTATTTTTTTTGCATAGAATTTTTAAAATATATTCTAAAAAAGAAAGTACTTTCTAACTTTTGCTCTTCCTTCGTAGAATGTTCATAGTGCATTTTTCTTTTTGTTCTCTGAACAAGTCGGGGGGCGGGGTTCACTTGAGATAAAATAGCCGATACAGGATTTGCATATAAAATGGAGACGGGTCAAAATTGTGCCGCGCGTTTACGCATTCGAGATTTAAAGTGCAGATTTGATTCCGCATATCGATGCAACCGCGAGTGTCCGCAACTGCGACTTCACGAGCGGCTGTATCTAACTGTCGGTGACTTTCAAATCGTCGCTCCTTTAATCCGGTATTTGGTATTGCAGCTGTATAAATCCGATAGTTTACGGATTTATGTCCAAGCACTTCAGGGAGAGCTTCCTGTCAGCTGCCTGCGGTGGATGGATTTGCTGCCCTAGAAGAGGCTACCGGTCATCCGTAACGAGGCATCCCAGTCTCAGCCAGACCAGAAGCACCAGCGTGAGGTATGTTGTTTATTATATGTATCGATAGCGCTCTCGTTTTGATATCGTCGAATAAAACGAAAGATAAAATGACAGAGTTGCGCAAAAAAATTGCGTTTATCGACCTTTCGAAATGTACTCTGCGAATTTCATCGTGTCATTTTATAAAAGAGAGAGTACTAGCAATTTTTTCCCTGCAGTGATTTAAAAAGTTGGGCTTATAATATCATTAAAAAGTTAATTTCTCGGTAAACCGTTTTTAATTTAATGTATGAATAAAACGAGAGTTATGTAGATCCCACAATTATTTTTGCTTAAGGACTCGAGTAAAGCTACGTTTACGATGTTCTATAAAAATCCTAACTCGCCAAAGTATATTTGAAAGAATTTATTCGCAATTTATAACGCGGTCTTCGGCAACATATTAATCTTACAATTAGATATGCGACTACATTTGAGTTAAAATGAACTATAAACCATATCAATACTTGACAAACGATAGCAAATAGTTGATATTGGACATAAAATTTGTGAAAGCAACGAAAACACATGAGAAAAACGCGCACGTAGCTTTATGATTTATAGGAGGAATTACGTGTTTTATTGCGGAAAACATTTTTCGCTGATAATTTTACATCGGTTTTCATAAGCCGATAAAAACAAGACATTTATAAACTCATCAAAAAAGATTAGACAATAATTCGATTACATAATGTTCTTATTCGTTTTCTATTTTAACGTAATTATTATAACTGTAATATAACATATAAAGAAGAAGATATATAAGATAGAAAAGGAAGTGTTTTATCGAACTTGGTATCTTTTTCTTGAATTTTGAGTTGTCTATTAGTTAAACTGTTCGGTGTACAAATTTTACGACTTGAAAACTTTTAATATTAACTTGAATTAAGATTCTATTCCAAAATTGTCCGTTTCTGCATGCATGATTTAGGTGGATTCGAAACTCCTTCCGCGGGTCGAGGTCCCGAAACTCGACCAATCCGCATCTTGTAGTCCATCCGTGATGTTGTTTTGCGACACCTTGGTCAGCGAACGAACCTGGACACTGTTAGAAAGCTCGTGCATGCGCCACGAATGTCCGCTTGTCAACCACGCTTGTCCACGAATATCGTAAACGAAGGAAACATGATTTGATCGAGGTAAATTGAATGGTCCGTCAACGTCGTTTCGTATATTCAGATTTAACATCGATTCCGGTTCGCTTTAAATTTATCGCACGGATCTTTCCTTATATCTAACTCCGCGGCAAATCGAAGGAAGTTGAATTTATTTTAACATATAGCATCGTGAAAGTTTAAAAGAGTTTTAGGTATATGTTTTAGTAAATATTATATAAAAAAGATGTATGTATTTGATCATATTTGTCACAAATTAGCATTTTTTAAGAACATTTTTTATTTGAAATAGTACACACACAATTGAATTAAATTATATATATTTTTTCTAAAGAGAAGGTTGCAGACAAATTCAAAATTTTATAATTAAGAATAATTTCTAAGATGAATTATTTTTAACACATTTTCAATACATAAATAAAGAAAACAGATTGAACGCAAAAAAGGCTAGTTAGCTAAACTGTTAATATTTACTTCCTCTTCTTGTAAAAAATAGAAAAATGAAAAGTTTAAAACACGAATTTAGTTTATCTCAACTAGCAAGTTTGTTTTCTAATTTATATTACATTTTTAAAATAACTGCAATATGTTCTTTTAGATTTATTTTTTACTTTTTAAAATACAAAAAAATAACCAAGCATTGATTTTTCGGTTTTATTATTAAATTAAAAATTTTATATAAATCCTTTACAAACAATCCTTTAAAACATTATTAAATTAATTTATTAATACTATAAACTAATTAATTTTTAACATTAGTTTATTTTTTTATTTGTTTTAACACATATCAAAAAACAAACAGAAACACGAGTTCGGCACTTTTTAATTCGGCTTTTCCGTTTTGCATCGGGATAAATGAAAAAAATATTCATATGTTTGTAAATTACGAATGACCACAATTTTGTCGTTTAATGCCATTTAACCAATTGTCGTCCTCGCGTTTCTACAATCTAGCAACAAAAATAAATTTACGGGTAAAATTGGGACGATGCTTTTCGATCGGAAATCTGTTAATTGTTGCATGTATTTATTAGTCATTGCATTAATTAGTATTGTACATTATACATGTTCGTTTATATTTTTGCATGTTTCGTATGCTTCGCAGATATGAACTTTTACGTATGTATTAAAAATAATTAATCATAACAATAACTTTTATAATTAAAATCATAGTATTTTTTAAAAATAATATTTATATAAAATTGTTAAGAGATATGTGATAAAAATAATCAAAACATATCAAAAACAAATATAATATTTTCTGAAAACAGCGAAAGAAATGTTTCTCCAATGTCAATTTTTTAAATCTTATGGATCAAACAAATATGAAATAGACTTTAATTAACAATAATTTAACTTTTAAGACTTAAATGGTTGAGATACTTTATATCAAAAAATAAAAAAATTATCTAAAATAATTTTTAATTGATCTATAATATAGATCTGCATCTATAAGAAAAAAAATATATAATTCTTTTTCCTAATACATTTCTTATATCTTCTTTTATGTTATATATTTAATTATAAAAATGAAAGTATTCCAGCCATTTTATAATTTATCACTACAAGTGCTAATTGCTACTAATTCAGCCATGCAATTTATATTAACAGGATATAAGAATAAAGAAAAACAAGTGAATTACTTATATTAAATTAAACTTTTTGTACAAAAACAGTCGGCAATTTTTGCATTCAGAAAATATTTTATTTCGCAAATATTTATATATTTATAATATTTATTATTTCTTGCAAGTAACAAAGTATTTTTAAAGCGTACTGAATTTATGAATATAAATGATTTATATATATTTATATTTTTTTTTGCAATTATTTGATAGAATGTTATTTTATTATAAGATATCAACAATATTTACAAAATATCGATTTTGCAATGTTGGACACATAATAGAACAGTACGTGTTTCATAATATAATTTTTCAGGTAAAACATTTTTCAGTGATATAAAGTTCTTTTAAGACTTCAGCCGTATAATGTAGCTGTCTCACTTGATAAGTCTCTAAAGGAAAATATCGAAAAGAAAAAGATTCGAAAACCTCATCTCTACCTCGCAAATCCTCTCAAACCTGCTCATCGATGAGAAAGTTCCGTAATAATTTCATAATCCTAACGATGTATTTCATCAGAAATGCGAGTGTGTGTTTTGTAAAAAGAATTATTTATTATATTATTATTAAAATAATTATAACTACGAAAATTGAAATATAAAAAATGTTTCGATATTTTGTTTAGTTGCTACATGATTCTATTTAGTCTATTTAGGGAAATATAAAGTTTGTGATATGTATATCCAAACGGGCAAATAACTAAGGACATAATGAAAAAAAAAATAAAATAGGTAATCTAAACTCACAAGAGCTGAAAGAGAAAAATTTTAATTAAATAATAATATTTTTTTTTTAAATAATAAAATTTTATATGTTTTATATTTTCTCTAGATTTTATTGTTATCGTTATAAAAATCTTGACAATTTTTTTCACAAATTTGTCATTTTTCTCACATTTTTGTCGGATTGAATCGTAAAAAAATGGATTGCCACGAGCTAAGAGTTAATCTACGAATCATTTGCTTCTCGAGCACAGTCTGTATCAGTGCGAAACAGACGAGACACCAATGTTCGCAGTCAGTCAGATTTTCTCGTTTAAATGTAATCCGCTGCAGAACATCTCTCGCGATTTACTCTCTCTTCAAATTCCACCAGCTAATGAAATTCCATTGCTACGTCTCTTTCACTCTCTTTTTCTCCTTCTCTATATTCACTGCCTCTCATCTTCTGTTTTTAGATGGACCTGATTCTTTCTTCATTCCCGGACTAGATCGTCGAGGGAGGTCCGTCAGATAAGGGAGGATTTTCGACAGTGAGACTTGAATAAAGTCAAGAAAGAGGCGCGATTATAAGTTTTACGAAGGTGGGACACGACCTTTCGACTGTCTACGTCTGTTTCGAGAAGCGAGGAGTGACAGGAGCGACTAAACTTTCGTGAATCGATAGTGATTCCAATGCGAGTGTGAAACTATCTGCTAAGGCGGTGTCGTAGATAATGTAAGTTCCCGAACGGGTTCATAGTCGATTTATCACCCTCGTGTCACCTTTATAGCGGCAGCATTATCCCTTGCTCGCCTCGTGGGCGAAATAATTGGACAGTTGATTAATTGTATATTCGGACAATTGGACGTTTAATGTACAGTTATAAAACTGAGTGGGTGGATAAGGGTCAGAAAGTGGGCTTCAGGCGTGGGCATCCAAGGTGGTCGCATAGTAGAGTAATCGAGCATAAATAGCATAAAGTCCGGATTTAGAAATCTTGCAAAGATATCTCGTGCAAGAAGTATAAAGATACTGATTAAATTACGCAGTACGCTGCAGGGTCATTAGAGAACAAATTAGATATTTATCTCAAAAGTTCTCTGGAATATATGTCGAGCACTATGTTGCAAATGTTGATAACTTTTAATTTGCGTAGAATCGTACGAGGATTCGATAAGAATAAGATATTCTCGTCATTTATCTCACTAGTCTGACTTTTATGATTTTGCTTTTCATATAAAGCACCCTACCTCAGCTAAACTTGAAGCTGTTAAAGAGAGTGCATGTTTTGTTGCGAATGTGTCGGTTTAATTTTCGCTCGATATTTAGTCTGTAAATATCATTCGTGTGTTTTATTTAAAAAAAAAAAGAGATAATTTAATATATTTATTTCGATCTCGCTTACATTTGTCATTGTAGAGAGTGCAGCGTGACCCATTACAAATGTTGAGAAAGAAACTGTTTCGACAGTTGTTTCACAAATACTCGATACGTTCCAGGAGGTATATTAAATGCGATATATTACAGACGTGACAAATAATGCACTATTTAGGAAACATTTGCCAAATGTTTGCGACGCATGTTCGACAATGGTCGATAAACATTTCTCGCACAAGTTTCTGCAACGTGCAACGAGAGATGGTGGCAAGTATTGATTTAACATTTTCATTTGTGTATAAATGTAATCATTTCTCGAAGTGCCATATATTTCGAAGTCAGGACAATGACATAATTCATTATGAATATTCATAGCATATTCTCGAAATATTAAGCCATATAAGTTTACACGAGAATATAATGTCAGAGAAATAATATAATTATATTGTATCTAGATTAATTAGTTTATTCCAGTGTGTCCATGTTAAAAAGGTCGATAGTGAATTTTGTATGAGTAATCTTGGCTTGTTACTCAGGATCATAATGCATTTTCTTTTTTTTCGTGGCTTTTTGGATCTTAATCTCAAGTATTTCCCTGCATTAAAATAAGTTATTCTATCTATAATATTAATAATAATATACAAGTTAGTATGTTAAAAAAGACTTTTAATATATAACTCTTATCGAGCCATCGTGTTAGGCAGCAAACGCATGCGTGCGGGTTTTCGATAGTAAGTCGTACTATTAAAAAAAAACTGGGGAAACCAAGTCGCTGATCAATGTATAGAAAATATATAAGTATAAATAAGTATTACATTATTTAAACTCTTTCTTTGGATTTGATAAATGTGATATTACGCGATGTTCATGATTCTATGCTTGCCGAGATAATGCTTTAAATGATACGCAAAAATAGCGTAAATAAATTTCTAATAGTTATAAAGAGAGATAACGAAATATATTAAGATTGATTGTCTTGCGATATTATCATGTTGCATCATACGCAAAATTAAAATCAACGTTTACGTAATGTGCAACAGCTTTCATCATTGTCCGTGTTTGTGCGAAAGAACAAAAAGTCTACATCTACAAGCTTTAATCTCAAGTCGTCGACTTTAATCTCGTAATTGTAAGATATATGGAACTTATTAAAGTTATTAAAGTGTAATGGCAAGGCTTTCGAGAGAATCGTAATTTTTTCTAGACATAAAAAGTAAACTCTCTTAGACACTGAGAGTTTTTCGACAATTTAATTAAGCAGCTTAATTATGTAATTTTACTTCTAAAAGTTTTATTACATTATTATCCTTTCGTTGAGCACATGACATAGATTTTTATGAATAACTTGACAGACTGAATCAGTAATGTAGAATTAATTTAGTCGTTGAAATTTAATTAAATTATTCATCGAATAATACACAATGATATTAATACGGCAATCTCACTTTAAAATATTATTGTATTTACTGTATTTGTGATGTGTATTATATAGGCGATAATTATTAGAGTCTATAATGACAAATCATGACGAAATATATGTAATAAAATTATTCTCGCATCGACTTTCAATGGCTGAGAATCACAGTTAATCATAAAATATTTTTCGTAATTTTTCAAGTGTGTTAACTATAATATAGTCTTATTTTTTTTTAAATGCACACTCACACATTTTTTATATAATATACTATACATACATACATATATATATATATATATATATATATATATATATATATATGTGTGCTATATATTGTAATTTATATTTATATATATTTTAATAATTTATAAACATATATACAGGGTATATAAGTACGTTCCGGGAACTAATGAAGTAATTTCTTAAATGATTTTATGAAAAAAATTTATATACGCTTCTGCATAAACAGCTTAGTTTTGGAGATACAAGACATTCAAGAAAAAAATTATTTTTTTTTAAATCTCGTAAACGGTTATTTATTTTCTTGAAATGTACTATGCGTTAGTAGTGGGTTAATTTTTAGCGACGAAAAATTAAAAATTTATTCTATCAAAAATCCAATTTAAATAATCGCTGTACGCCATTGATGATATCAGAATTTTTCAAGCTTATATAAAATTTTAAATGAGTAAAGTTTTACTTAAAAAATTTTTATAAAATTATCATGCTTTCATAATTTTTTCAATTAGTAAATTATATAATAATGTATAAGGGAAAGGAAATATTGGAGGATGTGAACCGTGAACCTCGGCAATGAAAGTCTTTGCTTGTGTGTGTGTGCATGTATAGTAATTATATGAATTAAATCTAAACAGCAATGAATTGTTTATTTTCCAGAAATGTATCTGTTAAACATTGCGATTTAATTTATTTTAAGTAATAGCTAATATAAAGTATATATTATAATATCGAGTACTATATGTGATTAAATGTTATACACGGCTTTAAATGTCTAAAATGTCTAAATATACGTACTAGTCAACTTTTCTCTTAGAACGGTATCTATCTAGATTTTATCTCAGAGCGAATATCAAATATGTATAAATATGAATAATTTTGCGTTGCCATTTTCAGTGCGAATTTTTACTTCAATTTTATCTCTCTCGCCCTTTTATGTGTGTCATATTCTCTGATCTTAAATTCTCATGACGCCAATGGTGAATTATGTGTACCATCTAACATACTATGTCGTGTGTATAGCCTCTACACATAGTTACGTAGTTGCTAATTTAGAATGTTTGTATCGTCGAGTTATGCAAATAATGCAGAATTCCCGACCAATCGAAACCACGTTCAAAATATTCAATGATCGCGTTTGAACATTTAATTAATTAAATTGGAATTCGTTGTCATTTCTGTATGGAATTTATGTTGCGGTAACTATTGTATCTTGCATTATCTATGATGAGATAATCAAATAGACAGGATTTGCATTATGATTATTCATGTACATTCCGTATTGTACGTTCATATATGTCGTATTTATCGGGTACATTTAATTATTACTCGGTATGTCGTATTTATCAAATACATTTAATTATGTATCCCAGATGTGGGAAAGAAAGAACGAGAATTTTTAAAATGATACATTAATTATATTTATATCGCAATAATATATAGAAAATTTCGAAAGATAAAGATATACAAAGCATACGATTCGTTTAAATGGCTCATGAAATTTGATTAAAAAGCAAGCAAACAAAGTTAACAATGTCATATAATAGCCACATGAATGATTGGAAATCAATTGTTGCAGCAAACCCGATACATTTGACTTGAGAAAGGGATGATTTCTGAATAAAAAAAAGAAAGAGACAATGCTGGAACAATTTCTCGCGTGACGTTGGTACAAGAAGCTTTGAAATATGGTATGTCGAACCGACAAAAAAGTAAGCGATGTAGCTAATATAAGAGAAGCGGAATAAGCTGTGTAACGCGCCTAATCATATCGTGTTGCAAAGAAAAAGTACAATAGAACGTTCACTCGAAGGAAACCATCGACGATAAGATGAAAGCATGTGAGAAAAATATTAGTTTCACGAACAAGATAGTTATCATACAATGTACAGATTATATATATGGTAAAAAGAAAAAGAAGATAACGATATTTTTCTCCTCAAAGCACGTATATTCATGTGTTCCTTGTAGAAATACATTTATTTGAATAATGTCATAAATTCGATCTAATATTGTACATTGCAAATCATCGATCAACTTGTACTAATTTTCTTCAAAATTTGTATCTATATATTAATGTAATAAACATGTATAACGCGAAGAGATCTATATATATTAACTTTTCAAAATTTTAAAAAATAATTAAATAATAGATGCACGATAGTAAAACAAGCAGTTTTAGAAAAATACAATTGTATATCAATTTACAAGGAGTATAAATTCTATAAGTTTTAATCTACAAAAAAATTATAATCATATCGTTTATTATTTCATCTTTTTAATGCGCTAAAATATTGTGAAAGATGAATGTCAAAGTTGCGATGATATTGAAGGCGATTAATTCGCGTTACATACCTGATTGCCAAAGATTAATTACGTGCAGTCTCTGCGGGATTCTGCGCATGACACTCGATATTTCGATAGAGTAGTTTTGCTACTGCTGTAAGGCGCCATATCACCGCAACCGGAGATTATTCGCTACGAAACTTCGCTGCACTGCATCGCGCATACTGTAGATACCGCAAGTTATTACTGGTTTATCAGACTGGATGTATGAAACTTGGACAAATGAAATTCAAAGATCAAAAATTGAATTATCGGGGGATTAAATTGGACGTAACATGATAACATATCGAAGATGCTTTTCGGATTCTTTTAATTATTTTAATTTGTTGAAACTAATCATTCGATATCATTTTGCATACATTATTTAATATATTATTGGCATATATGATTTGTAAATAATAATGTTAAATGTTAAATAACTGACAACAGGTTTAATCGACATACTTTAAGTATGAGAAAAAGAAGCATGTATATTTATTATAATTGGATTTTCTTACTTTCGAAATATTCGATTTGTTACTTTAGATGTTAAAGATGAAATTCCAAGCGATAATGAATGATAAAAGCGCAATTGTCAACTTAATGCATCTTTTATTCGTTATTTCTTTTGCGCTTCGAATTGAATTAATGAAACTTTATTTTTTCTTAAATGTACGTGAGCGAAACATTTTTCATTCTTAGATCATTTTTCGATAAAATACTTTATATATACATATACATATATACATATCTACATAAAATTTACAATGTGGCTCTCCCTTTGCATTTTTGAGATATATGCTTTGTATGGATAAAAATACATGTGTGCAAAAATACTAAATTATTGAAATTGAAGCAGTACTGCTGCATTTAAATTTAGATTTTTATTTATGTAACAAACGTATGTGTATAGAAAATAACTGATGTTCCTTGTAATTTTGATACAAATCGTTTTTTTTAAATATAATTAACTTATATTTTTTTTGTTATACGTATAATTACGTATAATACGTATAATTATTACGTATATACGTATTATTATTATACGTATAATTACCTATAATATACGTATAATTAACTTATTTTTTTTTTGTTATACGATTCGATCTATTATTTAATCACATCTTTAAAACTTAATCAATATAGATCTCCTTCGCTTTATGCTAATATTTTTAACAGCTTAATGTAAGTTATTATGTTATTATTTATCTTTGTATTTCTGGTAGAAAAAAGAATAATATAGTAACAAAAAAATTGCGAATACTATTCAAGAAAACAATTGCATCTTTCAATTAATTTTCATGCAATCAGTTGAATGAATCTAGTCAAAATGCAATTATCAGTGGGAGATTAAGTAAGAAGAGAGAATGTTAAGTTAGAAAAATATTCACAGCTGATATGAAATGTAGCGCTACTAATTAGAGAACGTATATGGATCTTGTTTTCTAATTTCCAAGATAATCTTAATGCCTTCTCGTCTCAATCATTTATCAGATTCCTCTTCGTGACATAAATATATGAATATGTAAATATGTTTCAACTAATTAAAATTAGTTGAAACATATTTACATATTCATATATTTTCGTTGCCAGTACTATATATTTTAAAATTGAGAAACTTCGATTTGATTTAAAAAATAAAAATGAAATAGTTATAATTTGGCAATAATTAATATTGTGTTCATTGTAGACGCTTAAGTGTATTTTTATTTGTAATCAGAAATTGACAATACTTTTTTATTTCATATTTTTGTAGTATATGATATTTATATATATAAAACATTAATGTTAATTTCCTGACAGAAAAGGATGTAGGATTTGGAATGTGCGATTGGCAATAATGACATTAGAATAGATCAACAAATATGGGGATATATATATGTATATATATATAATCATAATTTATTTTAAATAAGTTTCAGCTAACATAAGATTATCTTTTTAATTTGTATAGTATAATACTTTTTGTGACATAAGATCAGAACATAGTATGTACTCGGTTAAAAATACAATACATCTCAACATTGTATTATTCAATACAATATTGTCTGTTGTACTTTAAAAACTTTAATATGACAATTTTCTCATTTTATAGAATGAGAAAGTCGATATATAAATATAATGTACATGCGTTGTTCTTTGATCGAATAAGAATTCTGTCTTAAAACGCACGCTGCGGCAAGTCAAGTGCACCGTCATTTTACAGAACGAAGACGCTTATACAGGGTGCGTGTGTATGACGGAATTCACAGAGTATTAGTTTCTATTAATAAGTCTGATACATCCGTTAGGTGTGTATGTGCATGTGTCAGTCTTATTTAAATCTAATATATAAATGATTATTCCTATACGTTTCAAACAAATGTATACATGTCGCGTTTTAAAAAGAAAAAAAAAAAAGAAAAAAGTAAGTTACCGTATAGGAGGTCACAGCAAAATTACAAATGTATATATGAGATATGTACACAAAACGAGAATTTATTTAATCCTATTATCTTACTAATAAGAGAGGAAGCAGTAATCCTTTCATCTCGTTTCATACCTCGCACACTCATTATAAACAGTTGACTTATCTCTTGTTTCCTTTTCTTAACTCTCACTATTTCTGCATGCTATGTAAAAAGTACATTGCCTGCTTACTCATATACGGTAGTTTTTTTTTCTCCACATCGTGTTATATCTTGTAGACAAAAAATTAAAATGATCTATCAATGTAATTATTCACGATATGGTATGCGATACAGACGCAAATGCTCTATGGGAATTGAAAAGCAAGTTCATATATGTATACATATGTATATATATATATATCTATACACAAAAAGAAGAAAATAACGAATTATTTCTGTTAAAATTCTGATGTTTAAGAATATTCGCTTTTCGGTACTATTGCCGAAGATAACGTGATTTAGTGGAATGATTGGACGAGTAATATGATCTTGAACGGGAATCGCGCTCTGTAATACCTGAAAAAGAAAATAAAAAAAGAAAAAAAAATCGTTTTGAATTATATATATTCTTTATTTTACAAATACAAGTTAAAATTAATAAGTACAATAAAATAAATATATAGCATGGAGGTTTGATGCGGACAAAGGTGTAACAAATATACAATATGGGACTTAAATTGTAAAAATGAGATTCGAAAAATTGATGTAGTAAAAATAATATCGAAATTTTTTTGCTCTGATGATACACATATAAAACATAAAATATTCATTCAAAATTATCCAAAGTTTAACAATCACAATTTGTGGATTAAGGATTATAAGGAAAAAGTATGATAGCTAAAATATGATAGCTCCTCTCTCTTCAGAAACATAAAAAACTTTTATTATTTTATAATTAAAAATAGTTTTGTAAATGTTTAAAAAACGAAAATAGAAAATTAAAAAAAAATGTAAGTGCATATATCTCACTTAGCTTGAAAAATCGGAAATTTAGATTTTGCTCCAATATAATGTCTGAATAATTTTGAAGGCTATATGCACATACATTATTTACTGATACAAAACTGATTTTCTCATACACAAGTATCTTCTTATGATTTGGCAAGGTGTGCAGAGATTGAGGCAAGAACATTAGGAACTTTGGAGCTGACTCACCGGCAGTTACAATGCAAATTGCATTGCAGTCGCAAATGAGGAAAATTTCCGCATTAATAGGGTTGATGCCTCTGGTTCTGACGACCACCTCTCTGCTTGCCACCATAGCCTGAACCTCCTGAAACATACCCATGTAACGCACATTGTTAGTGAAACCCTCCCACCCGATTGAATACAACGCTCGTATATTTTTACAAGAAACTAAATGATATGTAAACTACGAAAGAAAATGTCAAGAATATCTCTTTAAAAATAATAGAGGTAAAAAATAATAGATATAGTACAAGCCAAAAGAAGGCTATTAAGTGAAGGCTACAGGCTAAGGTAGTAAGCTGCAGGCTGCGTTCCGATTTATGCATTTTTCATCTTCCTTTCATACATTTCTAGAGCTATCAATGCCTAAATGTAAGATATTTGAGGATGCATATTGTTAGAAGTAGGAAAAACAAAGTTAGATTTTTATGGAAAGATGAATATAAAGATATTGCAATGTTTTTTCACGTTTATAAGAACTTTTATCATATTCAAAAATTGATCAAATATATATTTTATAATACATTGCATTAGGAAAAAATTCATTGCATTCTTATAATATAATTTATAATAATTTGATTATATCTTTTTTTTTCGTGTATCTAATAGAAATAAATTTTTCAATTCACGAGAAATTGTATTCATCTCCATATGTTTCACATATATGCACATATTAACACATAAAAATTATAGAAAAAGCAAATAAATAAAGATAAAGAAAATTAAAAGAAGATATTCAAGTAAGAAACAGAGAGAGCAAGGAAGGAAGAAGAGAAGGGTAAGTAAGATTTTTGATTTTGAAAGATGAAAAAAAGAAATAAATATAAATGAATCTAATTAACATGTATGGGAAAATACGAATATGGACAATGGAATACATGCTGTTTAAAAGATGAATGAGAGATAAATATGAAATGTATGGGAGAGAAAGGACGCTATAATGCGTACCTTTGCCGCGTGCACCACCACGCCCACCACTGTAGCCACCATCGTAATTACCACCGCTGTAGCCGTATCCGTCTGCGTTTCATGGAACACACGGCATAAAGAGCATAATGGAATCAGTTATCGTATACGTACCGAGACATAAAATCGTTTTTCAAGTTCATTTTCTTTTACATTAAAAGCAAATATCTATGCGCGTGTGTGTTGCTCGAAAACAATAAAAATTAATTATATCATATGATAATACTAATAAAATGTCTAATAGTTTTATAGAGCATCTCAACGAAATATATCCTGGAAAGCCAGTAAGTAATTGATTGTACTACATGTTTTGATATTTTACATGAACAAAAGGTCGCTTTCTTGTTTGAAATTTTTGAATATAAAAATTGTTGAGAAAGGATGCAGAGATTATTAGAGTACACTACTTGAAATGATTTAATAGTTTGTATGAATGCAAAAATGACATGCACGTTTATATCATTAAAATAATAATTTACGCCATGCTGAAAATAGTTTGTCACTATACATATCGAAACGAAAATAATACAATCATCTTTTTAGAAAATCTAAAAAATTAATAAGGGAAGAAATGAGATAAGGCTTTTCTAATGTATACGTAACAGATCATAAGTCTCGAAATATTTTTTGATTAGATAGAGAAATATTAGATAGAGAAATTATTCAAATTATTCTCTATAAATTTTAATAGATACAGAGCTTCTTGACTCAAATAACATGCTTGACAAGCTAATCTCAGAAATCATACAAAATACGATTATTCTCATTCTCATGTTGTTGTCGCATAAACATATATAATATGTTTAGTCTTTGTGGTTTCATTGTATTTGACATGCTCATTATGAAGTGTGGAACAAACGAGAAATAGCATGCGAGGATCGTAGCAAAAATAGATCAAAAGCAAGACCAAAGGATTCGATATACACAGTCTTATACAAACAATGTCTTGTACAGCTTTACTTTAATGTTCTCTACCTAACATACACACATATCTTGCAGTTACATGTATATTAATATCATATTACAGTGAATGCATAATTTTTGAAGTCTATAGAAACAATAAAAAATATCTTAAAACGAAGTAAAAAAAGAATGACTATTAAAATTATTGATTCACTGACATTAATCAATGAATCTATGAGATACTTTCGTATAATTTATTGAATTTATCATTTTAAATATAATATTTTGTAATAGACCAATTACATAATTTTATAAACTGCAGATTTAAATATATATATATATATATATATATATATATATATATATATATATAATGTTACAATACATATAATATAATTATATAATAATTATCTCTATTTTAATTTAAATTAAAGATCACAATAAAGAGAGAAAGAGAGAGAAATAAAAATTTTCTTTTTCTTTCTGTCTTCACTGACAACTTTATATATTATATTTAATCATATATATGTGTGTGTGTATGGGTATTTATATATATATATTAATTACATATTTTAACAAGCTGTCAAAGAATATATCTTAGCAAATTATTAGAGTAGGTTAGTCGGTTATAGTTAAATGATTAGTCAAACATTCTGGAAAAAGAAGATTTGAGATGGGAAAAGCCAAATTTTCGATTAATAATTTTTGAATGTAAATCAATTTTTAAATCTTGAAGGTATAAATGTATCAATCTATTATAAATTGCATCATGTCATGAAAGAATATTTAAAAGACATATTTCGTGAGCTTGAGTTTTGGTTTACATTAACTATGTATAAGAGCAACATAGTCGACATAAACTAATTAGATTTTATTATTGATGATAAACTAATTTCTTGTAATATTATATACTTTATACTTTATAAAATTGATATATAATTATTAAATTAAATATAACACAAATATATTATATATTATATATATTATATATATATATATATATATATATATATATATATGTATAATATATATATCAACTTTTCTGATCATTTCATCTTTTGCACGACCGAGTAATGTATACTGACAAGACAAATCATATTTCTTTTAGTTTAGTGAAATAAAAATTTTTGCAGAAAAAACGTTACTTAGGAAAAGAAAGATAAATGAAAAAATGGAAGCAGCACAGCAATTCGGATGCACAACAAAAGAATTCATATGCATATATTTTCAGATATAATATGCATATATTTTTTTAAAATGCTTATTTTAATCGCGTCTACCGAATACACTGGGACGGTAACAACGGATAATCATATCTGTCATTGATCATTTTTTTTCTCGAAGGAAAAAAAAAATAAATCAAAAAGCAAAAAAAAATCTCGACAGTAATCGCACAGACGTCGAATCTGTCATCGCGATTCTAATAATAATCAATAAAATTACCGTATCCACTGTAGTCGTAGCCACCGTAACCACCGTACCCACCGCCTCCATAATAATCGTATCCATATCCATCGTAGCCACCGCCATATCCTCCTTGACTGTAGCCACCGCCGTAACCGCCGCTATAGCCACTTTGTCCCCATCCGCCTTGACCAAATCCACGGCCTCGGCCACCTCTGGTACCACGACTACCACGACCGCCTGGTCCACCGCGCATACTAATCATACCATCAGGTTTGGGTGTTGCTTTCTTTACGTCAACCTATTCCAAGTTCATTAAAAAAATCGTTATTATATTCACAATGAAAACTATAATTTAAACTAAAAATTAAATTTTTGTTACTTTGGGGAAAAAAGGAAAAGAATTTGTATACGTATTTATTTTAATATTCATAATGTTAATAGTTTAAGTTTAGTTAATAGAATATTCAAAGAGAAACTTTATAAATAAGCTTAACATTTTTTATCAAAGGCCGTATAATAATAAGTAATTTGCATTATCATTACTCACCTCTTTACCATTTATCGTTTGTTTCGAGGTCTTCAATAGTTCGTTAACCACTTGTTCAGATTCGAAAGTAATGAAACAAAATCCCTTCCTCTGATTCTTTGTTTTATCAAATGGCATTTCCACTTCGACAATCTTAAATGTTTTCAGATATTTCTCCGTTATTCATGGAAAATGATGATTTGAAAATATTTGACACGCAAAAATGATACAATGCTTACGGTTCCGAATTGTGAGAAGAAATTCTTGATGTCGTCGTCGGAGAGTTCCGTTGAAAGGCCGCCGACAAATATTTTACCGTGTCTAGCTTTCGCTTTCTTGGGGTCAACTTTTTTGTTATTGATGACATGATCTCCAGCTCCCATAATCTGAAAGATAAACGTTTCTTCAAAATAATTACTTTGATAAAATATGATTTATTAAAAATATTTCTCTAAAAATAAATCAGAAAAAAAATTATCGTCACATACACTCAGTAGCAGAACTGACTAAAGGTCTCATCATTTCCTACATATAAAAGCATAAAAAATTAATATAAAAAATACAAAATTAAATACCTTGTCGAGAGATTCAGCTTTAGCAAATACGATAAAGGCAAACCCTCTTGATCGTCCTGTATTAGGATCTGTCTTGACATTGATGCTTTCAATATCGCCATATGTGCTAAAATGTTCCCTCAATTCCTCTAAAAATGATAAGACAAGCTTTGTAGAAATCCTTAAAATTTATTTGATATAACACGCATTTGAGTCATTTCGAAAAAATATAATTAATCATTATTAAGCTCAGTAAAAAATTCTTTTCACATGACAATCATTCTCTTGATATTGTCATCCAAAGGTGTCCTAAGAAATCACATCATAGCATGCTTTTTTGTTCTCTAATTTTACAATATTTTAGAATTTTACAGTTTCATTTAGAGATAATTTTAAAAAGCAAGAGTTACTTACTGTCAGTTGTTTCCCAACTTAAACCGCCAACAAATAATTTCCTGTGAAAAAAAGAACAAGAAATTAAAACTAATGGAAGCGAACAAAAGATATTTTTAAATCTTTAATTACTATTATGGAACCGAATATTTATGGTGAGCAATTTACAGTTTATTAGTTTAGAATAGGAATTAATTAGTTTAAATCGTTATTCAGGATTATGATGTCGGCAAATTGTCAAATGTCTCTGCAACTGTACGTAAAAAAGTTATCTGTAATAAAAACGGTAAAAGATAGCGGATAGTAATGTGCCCCGGCCTCTTTCGCAAGTGACTATTACAAGTTACGATATAATCCTAGCCGATTATCACCTGGATGCGTAACTTTTGCATTTTTTTTTAATTTTTCATCGCGTCCCGTATTGTCGCATGCAATTTTTCTTTCACTTTCTCAACAATTCCGTTATGTTGTTACGTTAAAAAATAATAAGAAAAAATATAATAAGGATTGAAAATACCTATCGTTCAGAGAATCCTGGTTAGCTCCAGCCGACCTGCAAAGCAACGGAACGAATTTATTTCACCAGATGAATTTTTCAAACGTATTGATTGATAGTAAAAACTAATATCAAAGCGAAAATTTTACTTTTTTTTGAAACACGAGAAACGATTCCATTTATTATCGAAAAAAAAGGAATATTAAATTGACTCCTGGAAAGATCACAATCAATGTTAAGATATGAAAAAATTGAATGCAGACGCGCGATATATGCAAGAAACAGACCTGTAGTGTCATTCGCAAAAGGGGCACTGGATCGATTTGACCAAAAAAGAGACTTAGGTAGGGAATTTGATTTAAATAAATATGTAATATATATATCGCATATACGTGTAAGAGACTATATATAAATATTTATATATCTATGACACATAAGTTTAAGTTATGATTAATTAAATCACTAATATCGAAATTTAGAAGAGACTTCTTAATAAACATAATAAGCATAATTTATATAAGAATTATAAGAATATAAGAGAATATCATTCCTAGAGTGACAAAAATAGCTTATATGTATTTGACCTTTGTGAAAAGTTACGAGAAACAACCATGAGAAGACTGCTTTGCACACCACAGAGACCTTGAGTTTCGAACGTTTTAGTGTAAAAAAATTAAAAAAAAAATAAATAAATAAACATAAAAAAAATAAAAGAAAATGAAAAACTTGGAAAAAAGTAGATATATATACGTAAAAAAATCATTGAGAGAGCAAGATACTATTATATCGACATTCATGTGAGAACCCAAGCAATAGTTACAACTCCAGTTGACATACAGCTGCTCCTAAAGGAAACAAGATTTAATTTTTCCAAGTGGTACTCTGACTGCTGATTGGCCCAAAGAATATGGCATATGCTAGGATAGACTGCAACTCTATATCCAAAAGCTAAAAAAATTGTTTTTACATTACAATTTAATGATAGACGATTGATACTTTCGATTGACATATCTATGTGTACATAATATAGATCAATAATATCGAATATTTATTTCTATTTATATATGTATGTATATTATTTTATGTATATATATATATGTATGTGCTTGTCTCTCTCTTTCTCGTTCTCTCTGTTTCTCATTGTCTTTACAACGCTCATTGACAAATATACAATGCAAGAATTGTCTCAAATCTTGATATATAGTTTTCGTTCTTTCTTTGCATTTTAACGATGAGCTACAAGCTCTGTTTTCTATCGCTTTTCTGCCAGTTCATCGACATGATAATTTTACTTATTATATTTGATTTCTTTAGGCTGGTGATAAATACCGTGGGCACCAGTCACATCACACGCCGGTAATCAGTAGCTGGTCGGGTCATGTTTTCCACCTGCGAGCCGCCCGCCATGTGAAAACCGTTGTTGATCACCTGCAGATCAAGCCACATAAACTGGAGTTAATGGCGTTCCGACCTACTGGAGATTTTTGCATTGGCCCTAGTGATTCTGTGCTTTGGTCACGCCCAAACAGCATTTGGATCGGAAATTACTCTACGCGTGACCCAGCAGGCAAGTGTGTATCTGTGCGAGACTTATCAATCTGACAGAATTAACTCGACTTCCACTTCGCTTCGTGAGGGAACGTGATGGACTTGAACTTGACGTAGACTTCTCATAATAATTCTGACTTTGAAATCACTGTATAAGGCTTCACACGGTTTCAGTTCACACAAATCCCAGATAAATGTATATACTGTCAATCGTAAGCAATTACCAGAATTCAGCTGCAATACAATGTACAAGAATAGAAGACTCAGCTGGCCAAAAAATCGTATATTTGAAAGTTTACACTCTATAAAGATATTACGATTATTACTTGCGTGACAAATCTGATCGACTGCAGAATCCACAATTTTTCTCTTTATCGATTACAGAACTATAATTAAGTAACTAGATAGAGGAATGGTAATAAGGATTTTACACAGAATTACGAAATTTCAACAGATAAATATACCTTGTAATAGCAGCACATATAATGTTACAGACTAATGCTTATTTATATTATGTATAAGTGTCTTATGTTACTCTTGCAAAATGTAGCATGCAATATTTTATCCCAAATTTTTTTTTATTATCATAAATGTGTTAAGTATAGAATGGAGCACCGACGTTTGGCTATTAACTTCCATTATTTTGTACATGGAAATCACGTCCCTTGATACGAATACATTTTTAATTATGGATAAAAGGAAGTACATCTCCAAATTTATATTCAACGATAATACTTTTTCAAATATACAACATACATCCACAGTTATACATAAACAATGATTAATTATGTATTAACTTGCATTAAGGATATAAAATTTGGAGATCCTTTTTTCCTGAAAAATTCTGTACATCTTTAAAATTTTTAATTTACAACGATGCTTACCCTTTTCTTTGCAGAGATACCTCAAGCAAAGATTTGCAAAAATGCAATATTGTAAAAAAGAAAAAAGAGAGAAGAGATGCAAAATTCTTTTAAAAAATGGAATACTGTGGCGAAGGAGAAAAATAAGGCGACAATATAACTGTGGATTAAAAAATATCTACACAGATATGAATCCCGTATCATAAATTCATCCAACCTGAGATCTGGTTACGCTGAAAAGAATGGATTGGAGAAAGAAGAGCACAATGTGTTGCACGAGACAACGACTAAAGAGATGAGAACTTACAGTCTACAAACATCTCGTGCAAGGTGGGTAGCAACGATACTAACTTTTTTTTCTTCCCTGGATGATTCTTTTACTATTCATTTGATCATCGCATTAAAAAAAAGGAAAAAAAAAAGACATGAATGTTACTTCACAGAGATGACTCATTTTTATGGAATTTCCGCTAGATGCAAGGGACGGATCTCCACGTGTTTGTAACGGAAGTGGCGAGCACGACCAAGCAGCCAAAAACGACGCCTTCTCATCGAAATAATTCGCGACGTATATATGTAATATATTCACGCTATCTCACATTTTACCATCTGTTTCCTCTCTTCCCACGATGCTTGGGCGCGTCCCTAACAAGCCCGCGTCCGGTGCTTCCATTCATTCTTACTCGCGAGCACATTGTCAGCCTGGTGTCGACGAATCGAGGAATTTGAGCGGCAAACTACAGGCATCCGCGCACGCGACGTACCGCGAGGAAGCGAGGGGCCGATGACGTCGAGACGCAAGCGTTCGCGTCGCGTGGATGCGAACGGATTACGTCTGACGATCCCGCGTGCCCTCGCCATCTTGTGAGAGATGAGACGAGGCGACGCGGCTCGACTCGGGCGTCGCGAATCCATTCTTGGCGCGAATCGCGATGGGAATCCGCGAGCGATCCACGACAATCGACAATCGGGACGCGCGCGCGAGGGGGGGGCCAATCGAAAGGCGGGCGAATTACCTGTCCTCCTGCGACTCCTGACCGTTGTCCGCGGCGTCGCCGCCACCGGCGCCGCCGTTCTCGGCTTCGCCGTTCTGCTCGGCGAAGTTCTGCTCCGCGATATCCTCGCTGAAATCCTTGCCTTCCTGATCGGCCATCCCTGTCGATCTCTGTGTTTACGCAAGGCGTAACACGTGTGTCGATTCGCACACGACTCAACCGGACACGCTCTCGTGTCGAGTAAAAAGACCTCGCTCTCGTAGATCGTAGATGGGACTTTGCGGGACTCTCGATGCGTCCGTACCGTTCGATTGCCGAATGGAGAAGGCCGGACCTCTCGCGCTCCTCTCGGTAATTCACGAGCGAGGCATCACGGGACGCGCGCTCTCGCCCTCGACCAATCGCGCGCCTCGTCGCCTCAGGACCGGCCGAGGGGCCTTCGAGGGCCCCCGGCCTCGCGCGAAGATCCACCGCGTCGAGGTGGCGCGGGAATTTCGTCGCGTCAGGTCGGCGATCGCGTCGTTCTTTCTCGTTTCTTTCTCGTTTCTCCGGTGAGATCGAACAGATGATACGCTTGAGACTTTTTCCGTTGATTCAAGAAGAGTCGTTACCTTTTTCCCCAAGTGTGCGGTGTTTCCATTGAGAGCATTCCTCGAGCGAGTTTCATTCATGAGCAACGTAAACAACGAGATGATCTGATTCAGCTCGACTTTGATTTATTGTCGAATGGAGATAAATATCGGTAAGAATCGATCGATCTTTATTTATTTCAATTTTTACGATTCCATTTCTTATTCAAAATTATTATCTTGCAAATAATTTATCACCATCTTGCATTACTTTTATAATATCAATCAGGTATTGAGATTCTTTAAATTTTTATTTTTTACGAACTTAATATCTTTGCAAGTTTTAATTAGCACATGTTATTTATTAGATTCTTAAATTGCGAATACTTTTACAAAAAAATCGCTGCAATCAAGTATATCAATTTGCTTTAAATAGGTATACTTTGTATAATGGCACAATAGGTCTAGCAAAATAAAGAGTTTTATTCTATTGATATTCTTTGCTAGAAAAAAAATTCTGTAACAGAATCACGCGGTCAAAACGAGTCGAATGTTTACGTTCCTGATTACATTCCAATCGATGAGCAATGGCGGGAATGCGTCACGTCGACTTGGCGGGGCAGGGGGAAAGTAGAATACCCAGAAAGGAAAGAAGAAATAGATTTAGCGTCACGCACACCGGAAGTTCGTCATTGGACTAGTGGGAGGCGGACAGCCAATAGAATCGCTGGAAAACACCGTGCGCCACTGTCGACCAATGAGAGATCGCGGAGGGTCCCGCTCAATTTCGCTGTCGCATTTCTCGACATTCCATCTTCGTGTACGTTCGTCTTTTCAAAGTGAACAATATTTGCCGCTCGACAAGAAGATTTAATCGCTCAGATAAATCGCTAGATCGCTAGATAAATAGGTATATTTATAATATAAATATATATTTATAAATAGGTATATTTATTTATCTTCTCACAGTTTTATACACTCAAGTTTGAACTGGATAAATTATAATCGATTTGTTTTTCAGCCATGGATTTAACAATTCTTTTTTGGACTCGTCCATTGATCATGCACGTTCAAAAAATGTACGTATATATATATTTAAAATTATTCTTATAAATTATAATTATTATTATTTTTGTAAAATATAATCCCTTTTATTTATAAAACTTTTATCTCGAGATTAATTATCTATCTTGTTTTTTATTGCAATAATTTGTCGTATATACTATTACAAGGAAAATTTATTAATATAATAATATAACGTTGTTGTATGAAATGCTTGCAATTTGCAATTGCGTGTGCAAAAATTTGACGATATAATTCACTTTGATATTTTTATATATAAGATATTTCATCGATAATTCTATTTCTTCATCTATTTTTTTCATCGAATTCTATGCACGCTTTTTTATTTTTGCGCGATCGATTTTTGTCTCGTTGTTAAATTGAATTTTCGTCGATTACGTGTCAGTTTATATCTTATCGCGTAAAATTTTCGTGAGATCCGTGAAAGAAAAATCGTAAAAATGCCAGAGGAAAAAGTAAGAAGTAGTTTCTTTTCCTTTTCCAATTTTTTCCGAAATAAAAAATCGCGAATGGAATTTCTCGCCTGCGCATTTTGAGGGAAAAAGTGATTTTAGGTTCTTAGGCTACACGATGTTTGGCGTACTTGCAATAAAATACGAGCCGCTGTTTTTCGCATCGGACTCGATTTATGGGAATACTATAAACCTCTAGATCCTGACAACCGTTGTCTGATATCAGGTATAAATTTAGCACCGATGAGTGATCACTTTTGACGTTTCCAAAATTATCTATTGCGAGCAGTTATCTTTAGACACTCGATATAATGAAGGTCATCGATAAGACGAGTATTTTTGGCATTTCTTTCTTCAACATTTCTTTTCTTTTCTTTTTCCTCTATACTTTCATTTATTATTTCTATATGATTGAATTATTGTTATACAAATTTTTTACATTTAAACTTTAAATGCATAAATTTCTCAATTTAAGTTAGGACAAAAAAAGCTATTGAGGCTATGATTATGAATATTTGAATGGTCTTATTCGAGAAAATAAATTGAATATAAGATCAAAAAACATTTTGAAATCAAATTTTGCAATAATATTCGAATATTTACGTGATGATGACATATGTCCAATAGCTTTATATGTCTATTAACTGTATAATTATTAAATGCGCAGAGTCCAAATTTATTTCTGTTTTGGCTGGACCTCTGAAGGGCGTAATTGGCTTATCGGATAAAGAAATCTGTGATTTGACGGATTATTTTCGGATTCAGGATGGCCGGATTCTTTATTCGCAATTTTGCGAAATTATCCATGAAAACAGTATGAATATTTTTTATTAATGAAACATGTTTATGTAAAAATTTAAATGTTTGTGTTTAAATGTTGTTGTTTTTCTCCTATTTAAATGTTGTTGTTTTTCTCCTATTTACACGGCAAATTTTATTTCGTATCATCTGGATTTGAATATAACATATCTTTCTATTAAAAAAATTTGTTATAATGAAAATTCGTAAAATATTGTAAATGTTAATAGTAATGTTAATAGTAATGTTTTCTGCAGTTCCTAATTTTGGCAAAAATAAGCCTCTCATAACCGGCTTGGAATGGGAGGACCCATTGCATGTAAATGTCTTAAGTTGTACAGAAACACGAAAATTAAATCTAATAATTACTCAAATCGCCGTGCTAGTGAACAAAAGAAAAATTGCACTTCGACCATATTTTCAAGATTACGAACTGGTACATTCGGCATGATTTATTTATGGATTATTACGATACTTTGTTATCATACTTGTAATTTATTCTATTTTTAACTCTTTTGCATGTTCTTTTATTTTTAAGAATATTCATACTGGTAATGGATTAAAAATTTCCAATAATTTTCTTTTTACAATGTAACTACTGAAAGTATTTATCGAAAGTTGTATTTTACAGATTGCAAAGAATGTCGGAACAATCACTCTCGCACATTTTGGTCGAGTTTTAAAATTTTTAGGCATCGTCCTTGGTGCCGAAGAGTTTCGTCTACTCGTAAAAAGATTTGCCAAAGATGCCTACACTGTGAATTATGTTGCATTTCTGAAAGCAATCGATGAAGTTCAATGCTATTTAGATGAACATGGAATGATGAGTTTCAGTGGGGTATTATTGTCCTTAGAATTTTTTCTATATTTTCTTATATTATACACTTACTCCCTAAAATGAATCAGTATATTGTCACTGATTTACAGTTCTGTACTTATCACTGAAAAACAGTAAATAGTCACTGATTACAAGCAGTTATAAGTACAGTACTGTAAATCAGTGATAATACACTGATTCACTTTTAGAGAGTAGAAAAAGAAATATATTAAAATGAATTAAGTATTAAATGAAATAATAATGCATTCATGAGATCATAAATTATATTTTACTATTTTATTCTCGAACAGGACCTGCTCGAACAATTTCCCGGTCGAATAATTACGGTTGAACTGCCTAAACTACCACGACCGGAAATCGGCAAAGTCATGCCTAGTCAAGTATTTGGTAGGCAAACGGTGTTTCATCCGGTAATGGAACCGACAAAAGAAGCGATGTCTACGTTAGAAGTCATTAAACGTATTCAGAGACACATTCTTGAGCATCGAATACGTATTCATGATTTTTTCAAGGTTATTCCGATCAAGATTAATCACGCGGATTAATTGCTATTATCATAAATCATATGTTCTATGTTAAATTCGATGTTGTCGCACTTTGTATTATCTTACGGACATGATGGATTCGTAATAGCTTTCTGCAATTAAGGATTAAGTGATTCGACTTGAAATTGTAGGACTTTGAATATCTGAATGATAGTAAAATGACCGTCTCACAATTTCGAAGAGCGTTAGACGCGCTTCAAATATCGTCCTTGGGTCGTTTATGGCTCGTCGAACCAGAAGTTGACGCCCTGATCGCGCTTTACAAAGACCCGGATGATCCCAATCGCGTATGCTGGCGTACGTTCGAGGATGATATAAATCATGGTACATTATCTATATATTATGATTAAATTTACAAAATTTTCAATATCCTCAAATACTTTTTTACTTTAATTATAATCGAAACTGCAGAATTATATGGCAATAAACAAAAAATTTCTTAATGTTTTTCTTAATGTTTTTCAAAAATAGAAGAAAGAACAAAGATTTAAACAAAAAGTTAACTCATGATTTATATATTTTAATCTTAATATTTTAATCTATATATTTTTCTTTATAGTTTTCACCGTGAAAGGACTTGACAAATTACCGAATCTTAGAGTGGAATCACCGCCCGAAGAAATAGCTGAGCTATCTCGGAGAGGCACATCAAATTGGCAATGCGAGCCAAAAAGTATAAGAGATCTTTGCGAAGATGTCTTGCAGAGAATAAGGCAGCGAGTCGAAGAGAGGAGGATTCTCTTGAAGCAGTTCTTCAAAGATTACGACAGGTAAGCTTATCTATAAATCGTTGTTAATTGAACGCCTCATTTTAAGACATAAAAAAACGTAAACAAAATGTCATAAAGGATTTTTTAAATTTGTTATTAATATGAAAGTATAAATTGTACTAAAGAATAAACAATACATGCATAATTTCAAGTTATAATAATTTAATTTATATAATAATAAAATACTTTTGAAAAATAATCAAAAGTATCTAAAATAAAAAGTTGTTTTGAGAAATTATTATATTAATTATTTTATTACATATAACGTCTTTTTCCATTTATGTAATTAAAAGATCCTGTCAACGATATCGAGAAATTGTTCCTAATTTAAGCTAATTGCATTAGACATAATCGCGGTCATGTAACGCGAACGCAATTAAGACAAGTGCTTATTACGGCAACTATACTCTTATCTCCGGAGGAAGTGTTTGCATTGGAGCGAAGATACAACAATGATCTAGGATTCAATTACATTCAATTCCTGCAGGAATTGGAATCTCAACCTATCGTAGAACCTTTATATCTTCGAATGTTGGAGGATAAAAAAAGAATCAACGCTGAAAAGCCACCATCTGAACCTAGCGAGGATGAAACTAATATCGTATTGATTTTAGCTAAAATTAAAGCTAAAATTGTGCGCGAAAGAATTAAAGTAATTTACAATAGTAATATATCGTTAATTAATTGAAGAAGTAAGCGATTAGAATTAATTTGACATGCAGGTATTAGAATTTATGCGCCAATTTGATACACACAATCACCTTGTCATTGAAAGGGTAGATTTTATCAGAGGTCTGGATCAATTTCGCTGCGGTTTGACACCTGCAGAAGTAGATACCATTACGAAGGCTTTTCAAGCCTCTACAAAGTACGAGACATTATAATGCTAATATTGAAAATTAAGATTGTTAATTGCAAAACATAGAAACAAGAGAAGAATAACAATACTTTGACATGTTAAAATTTTAATTAAAATTATTGTTTTCAATTATTTATTATTTATTTTCTTTTTTATATATGAATATTATTTCATATAAGATTGTTTGATTTCTTGTTGAAATTGCGAAGTAAAAAAAAAATTTTTTTGTTCACATTCATAATGTTATTATAATTATGTTTCTTTCTGAAGACCCGAGTTTATCGAATATGTGAGGTTCGCGAAAGTTGTGGAAGAAGCAGTTGTGACAGGAGGTTTGGAAAAAGTTCCGCTTTTAGTTCCCTTGCAACACGTGCCCTCCGAAGCAAGTGATAAGACCTTTTTGAATTTTGACGAACGACAGACAGTAGCAATTGCGATGGATAAATTGTACAAAATATCAAGTCCGAATCTCGATGAACTCTTTAAAGTTAGTATAGAAAAGCTATGTATATAATATATAATATAAATTATATATATATATATATATATATATATATATATATATTTAACATATATCTTTATGTATGTGATAAAATATTTTTATCATTTAATTTTATTATTTAAGATGTCTTGTAAAGAAAAAAAAGGAAGAGAAACTTTATAAATATGTATATAATACATATTTTTTTAGGACTATGATAAGGAAAATATTGGCACGGTATCTAAGGATCGCTTGATTAAGGCATTATCGGTTAGACGAATGTTGGAACTTATCACAAATAAAGAATTAGATGCTTTACATAAGTGCTTTTCTATCGAGAGAGGTGGTCGCCTGGAAATAAACTATCGAGCCTTCCTGCGCGCTTTACACCTGTTACAAGAGAACAAAAAAGCTGTACCTTTCTAAAAAGACGCTAATCTTATGGCGAGTATAAAAACTGAGACTATTTCTCTTCTCTATTATCTTATATTATGCTGCAGTGAAAGTGTCATAAATTAATGCAGTTATTATACGCTTCCTAACAAACGATAAATCTCTATTTTTATATAGTAATACATAATACATAATATTGCTTTGGATTTAATTATCAGCATCAATTTTGCACAGAAAATATATAATTTCCAAGAATCTAACATTAATTATCTTCTAGGATAAATGTATTTGTATCAAGTGGAGAGAAATATGTATTGCCTAATTTTCGCAACATTTTGTTACACATTAATTTTATGCTATTTTTACATATTTAGATTTTTTAAACATAGTGTTGTGAAAAATATTCTTTGAACAAATAAATATTTTTTCGGAATTTTAATATGATTATTTGGGCATTGTTATAAAACGAACGAAAAATTTTTGTCGTCTAAATAAGACGTCTAAATAAGACATCGTAAGAGTGTTTTTTCATATAATGTATAAAACTCGTCGAACCAGCTATTTTTAAGAAAGAGAGATTCTTTTTTTTTTGTTGATCATTTAGTTTAACTGTGCATCGTATCTTTGGCCCTCGTATGAATTTATCCGAGTTTCAAACGTGCTTTTTGGATATAAATTGGGAGGAATATAAGAAGGCAGGACGTTGCGTAGATTGCGGTAATCTTGTAAAAAATCTTTGATAATCTGCGATAACATCAAACAAGGTAAAATCTTTTGAACTTATTAATGACTAATTTTCTATTGTCTGTTTAAAATAAAAATTTTCTTAGAAAAATAAAATAATTTTAATAGTAATAGTAATCTTTTTAACATTTTTTAAAATGTCTATTTTTGAAACATTTAAAACTATTAACTATTTAGTGACTCTAATATTAAAATTTGATTAAAACAATAAAATAATTTATATTTAATGAAATTCTTAATGAAAATTGTTTTTTTGCATATTATGATTTAAGTCGCTAATTTATATTCTAAAATTTTAGTTACAAAAAACAAATTTAAAAAATCTATATCTTCTGACAAACTTTCTGTTGAGAAAGTAAAATTTTAAATTGTACAGTGAATCAAAGAATTTAATTTTTAACATAAGTGAAGATAATGCAAGTGTTAAAATTATTTTTATAATTGAATTAAATTTATCATTATATGTACTTTGTCATTATAAATATGCTAGACATTTTACAATGTGATTATTACAAGATTGATATTTATTATAAATAACTTGTTTAATTAAATTAACAATAAATTTGATTAATATTGTTATATTAATCAAATTATAATGAATTAACATCACATTTACATTATCACCTTGTTCTCTTGAATTTTTTCACTTGCTAATAGATGGCACCATCGATACAAACTTGTGAAACGATATCAAATTTTCTTTCACGCAATTTAAAAAATAATAATATCTGATACGGAAAGTTTCTAAATATATTCTTAAATATTTCTTGGAATTTTGTATTATTACGAATTTTGTATTATTCATATTATTACAATTAATTAAACAATAATATTTTTAATTAAATAACAAATAGTTTAAATATTTTTTAATTTTTGTCTTTAATTAATATTTAAATCGATCTACGTTTAATTTATAATGATAGTTTAATTATTGCTGATTCTTTTAATTAGATTTCTATTTACACAAATTGAATAAAAATCAAGTTTAGAATATTTTTATGTATATATATCATGTCACCTATGGCATATTTGTAAATAAAGTGAAATTAAAACGAATGTTAATATAGTAAGTACGTTTGCATTTTAAATAACAAATCTATTTTGAAGAATAGTTACATTCTAGATGATAGAAATTGTCGAGCGAAGCACGTGCATTAACTCTATCAGCACGTACGCATTTCGCTGGCAAAGAATAATTTAGGCAGATAGAAAGTTTTAAGTTTACCTCATGCTACGCGCTTTTTATCAGAGATTAGAATACCGAGAAAAAATAAAACGCTTTAACGTTTCATTGAATAAAAAAAAGAACTTGTATCTATATATTCATATCGGAAATAAAATACTCTTTATATCATTAATTGTCATCTAAAACATAAAAAAATGCTTGATTGCAGAAAACGAGAAAATGAAGTACATCGCATCGCTTTGCCTAATTATCGCTTCTATCGTCGCTGGATCGTCACCGTTTCCATTATCCGATGATACCTTGTCTCCTCAGTGCCAAACTCCAGAGTGTCCGGCTATAAGAATTAAGGACGGTGCACCGATTATTTTGCCCTATCCCTTGGATTGTCTGCAATACATCATCTGCAAAGAATCCGGTCTTCGCATCGTCGCATGTTCAACAGATTTGATCTTTAATAAGGTAAGCGTCAAAAAGCCTTTTCTAAAATTATTTGAATCTAAAAGATGAAAGCTAGTTGATGGGAAGTATTTTACATGATACAAAAAATATAGAGAGAAAGAAAGAAGGATATATAAATGGAGGAAGAATATAAAATATGATTTTCATATTTTTTATATTTACAAAATTTTTACTTTTAAAACAAATTTACTTTTAAAATGTGCATTTGTTAAGTATATATTTATTAAATATTTTTATTTATCAAGTATATATTTATCAAGTATATTCATATATTTATAAAATATGTATCCAAAATGAAATTTCAGAATATACATGCCATGTTGTATTCATTCACGAATTTAGAGTCTCGCGAATAAATTATTATTTAAGAACGCGATATTTAAAAATAATTAATTTTAAAAATAATTTTATATAGTAAGATATATTGCGGAAATAAATGCCTCGTTAATCTTCAATTTTATCATTCTTCCATTTCGTTCCATCTAATGCAAATAATAATTTTGTAGTAGATTATACAATTTCACTTAATGGCGGAAATTATCATCGGTAACATGCATACTTATACGTCGCTCGTAATTTCCACATTAAAAATACATCTTTCACGATATATCGCGATCTTCACGGGTGCTTAAACGAACTTATGTAGTGCCGCACATCACGCAAAAACCCGCGCACTCCATCGATCCGACACCTCGAAGAATTTCCCGGGACGCGAGAGACAGATACAATTTCATTCATCTTCATCGACTTCTCGTGACGTAATGTCTCATTAGTTCCTCGTCTTCGTATGCTACATCGTATGCTATCTACAATACATATATCAGGTCTCATAAATATTATCTCTATTTGATTCTTCTTTTTCGAAACAACGTGATGTATAGATACTTATACATCGTTATGCCGAATGCTTGAAATTTGAATCTATTTAATCGTGAAAAAATGTTAATTTGCCTTTTTCTTAATTTTTTGATATAAAATAATCCAAATTTATTCTTTAATTTTTTTTTCGGAGAATTATTAATAATGATAATCATATTTAATAATGGAATTATATAATTACAATTTAATAAAACTCCGCGAAAATATTTAAAGCGATATCGTCGGATATTTTAATAACGTCGGATAATTTTTTTTAAATATATTTTTATAAATAAATTCGATCCATTAATTTTTAACATGACGTTCAAAATCGATTAATAGTAGTTCGATTTATCTCGTTCCGACGTTTTATTTCCAATTTATTATTATATTATATGCTATAAATAAAGTAACTTTTGCAGGATAGATAAATAATGATTCTCGTAAATTTTCGTGTCAATTCCCCCTAGAGAAAATTTATATAGTAATAACTACATCATTTGTGTGAGTAGTATTTGTGGTACTTGTGAAGATGATTATAATAGGATTATTGATAATCACTATCTACCATTTACTGAAAAACTTCATAGATAGTCTTAGTGGATATTTCGAATTAATTAATTATATCTTCTTCAATTATCCACATTTATTATTTAATCAATACTAATCATCATGTCAAAGAAATCCATTTTGATCATCGTCCATCTCATAAAATAATAATAATAAATAAAATACAAAGAAACTTTATTTCATTGTCTTTGTCACTAATTTTTAAAAGATTCATTTTTATCTATAGAAAATTTTTTAACATTTTTAATAGATACATATTCAATATACATATTTATAGACATATTCAAATTAGAACTGTTCCATTAATTAGGCATCAAACCCAGTGGAAAGCACAGTGATGTAATTCTGTACACGGAGTGTTGTACCGTAATAAAACGAGCGGTCGCGAATCGATCTTATCCCGGAACATGATATGCCGTTTGTGATCTACAAGTGCGTCACGTGTGGACCGAGAGTCGCGGCCTCGTATCACCCTTCGATAACCCCGATGGTGAAACACCCCCATTTCGTCATATCCAGTTACGAGCCGTACGGGTGGCGCACGTGCATATTGTCGTCCCCGGGTACTTCACCTGACACGTGACCGGGCGAGTTTCAATTCACCGGTTCTCCGCGGACGTCGGTGCTTGACTTCGTGACGAGTGAGGTCGACAGGGTCGTTTGAACTCGTCCCATCAGATCCATCGTTTTTAATTTGCCGCTTTTTATGCTCGCTCGCGAAAATCATTTCGAAGATAAGCAAAAGGAATTAATTATTTTGTGGATTCGTAAGATCCGCGGATTTTCTATATCGAAAATTTCTTTATTGGATTTTCCTCGATCCCTTATTTTATTCTTTTCGCAATTTTCTTGTTTGAACTAATATCTATTCTTTCAAGAGAATCTTGTTACTGATAAGTATAATCTTCATTTAACATTTTTCTATTTCAGAATACTGATATATGTGATACTCGATAAAATGTCAACTGTATACCTTGCTGACAAGGTTGAGTCAGTTTGAACATTTATTAAATATATTCATACTGTATAAATATTATACATATTCATACATATATGTGTGCTAAGAATCTTATATTACAAGTTGTTTTATATATAACTCATATTACATATTCATACATATATGTGTGCTAAGAATCTTATATTACAAGTTGTTTTATATATAATATTTTAAAAAGTACTTAATAGTATAAATAATATATCGTTAATATAAATATTCTAAATATAATATGATATAATATTACTTAATTTAATTTAATTTAATTTAATATACAAATATAAGAAAAATTGCTCATTTCAGCTATAAATTTCATAACGTAAATAAAAATCTTTCTCTCTCAATAAAATTATTAAGAGAAAAAGATTTTTATTTATGTTGTGAAATTTATAACTGAAATGAGCAATTTTTTTATATTTATGTATTTAAAATATAGTATGACGTGATTGGAAAATTGCGAATACAGTTTTTAATTTGTAAAAACAAATAGACGATTTTGATTATGGAAAACTAAAGAGAGAAAATTAACCAGAAAATTTGCCATTTCTATTTCCATATTCTCATAATTATCTATATTGTTTTATTTGTTAATAATTCATATTTTCCTGTGTTCTCTTTTCTTGACTTACTAATGGCCAGTATTCAGCCATTAATAAATTTTCATCGTTTTATCTTCCTCCTTTTGATGTCAGCATTTTAATACCATGATAGTCGCGCGTTAGTTTTGATTTTCACATGAAGCATATTAACAATTTCGAAATTTTACAATTTATTCAAAAGACACGTTACTTTTATATCTTGCAAAATTTAAATTTTTAAATATTTAAACTTCACAATTCACATAAGAATAAGATTTCTTTATGTTATAATTAAATCACTACACTTCCATTGAACTGTGTAATATTACAATGAAGAGGACGATAAAACAATAAAAATTAAAGATCTATTCTGAAAATTAATCGCGAAAATAAGTAATAATATAAAAAATTAAGTAACAAAGATATATTATATGTGCTTATAATATTTTACTATAATAATTATGTAAATTTTATTACATTAATTTTATTATAGCACATCTCTCTTTGATAGTAAGAATATAAGTTAAAGTTGCAGAGCTCACAGTTTTCACATTTGTCATTTCAAATAGTGAAAATCATTCGCGTAATTTATATAATTTTATATATTGATAAATTTATATTTTGCAGTTATTCGCAGAATCGTCTCTGCTGTAAAAATATATTCAAATCTCGACGTGCCCTTTTCTATATTTAGGTCCTATTTCATAATCCGATATGTGACATCTCACTAGAATATTTCATTTCTTTTTAAAATTTAATTTCCTTATCCTTGTTTCAATAAAATTCATAATTTTCATTTTAATAGAATTATTTTTTAAATAATCTGTCTAATAGTTTTATGAAAAACATATTAAATTTCCATTAATGGTTAATACCATTTGGTTAACTACAGTAGTGATTCTAATGTCGAACATATTTTTCGGAGTGATCGATTCGCCAGGTCGTGCGCCCCTCTATTGAAACGTTCTCCATTCGCACCCTCGTTTCATCCTCTATAAACTTCCACCTACGCGCTCGCGCATTCCGAGAATCCGAAATGTTACTGCAGACGTCAGTAGATATCCTAGATTTTTCAGGATATAACTCTATAATGAAGTTAAAGAGACGAGTTTCTGTCAGCGAGAATCTGTTAGAATATTTATAAGGATTTATAAGGATTTTTATTTATATTCAGATATTACATCTATCTCGAAGTTAAAATCGATAAAAGGAAAGTAAGCTTATTTTAAAAAATATATATGTATATGCATTACTTTTTCTTTGTTTTTAGAAAATATTTTTTCGCTTTTATAAATTAAATAAAAAAAATTACATCTAAAATTATTGAAGGATTTATAAAAGAATCTTTTGTTCGTGACATGTATAGTATAATTGTTTTTAATAGTAAGATACTTTTTATTATATTTTTTTGTATAACCTAGGACTATTGAAAATAAATTAATTTGTATTTTTTTTTTTAAATATCAATATTACTACTTCAATAGTACAGAAAATACATCACATTTATAATTTAATTTAGATTTTTAATTAGATTTGTAATTATATTGTTATCAAATTTTTTCGCAAACGGATTTTGTTTCCACCTAAATAAGTAGTTTAAAGAGTTTTTCATGTTCGATATCAAATTCTAAGTTTTTCATGTTCGATATCAAATTCTTCAATGGTATCAATGAATTTTTTACTATCGTGTAATGTTAGCTGTAGAGAAGAGCGACCATATCGGAAAACATCTCATAACGCTTTAAGAAAATCGCCGGCTTGATCGGGTCCGCTCGATTCTTCGCGACGAGGATCAACCCACGCATATGTGGCGTTCGCCAGGAAATAACGCGTCCCGAAAAGAGCGACATTAGCACCGGCTTTTCATCTCCTGAACGAACTCGTTGTTCACTTTCCTCCCCCGAATTTCCGCTCATCCGTTCGCCGGACGAAAGGGTGAGAGGGCAACGGAAAAGAGGGGGCGATCTTGGTCGCGGGGAGCATCGCGACGGGGGCGCAGACTCGCGACAGCCAACTTGGGGTAGTCCACGCCCCCCGCTTCGCCCCCGGCGGGGGCGTCGAGTTCGCGGAGAAACGAAGGAAGGATAAATGGGGGTTGGCAAGGGGTGAACGGGTGACGAGCGCGGCGGGACGCGAGGGGGTGGCCTCGGGCCAGCGGGGGATAGCGGGGTGACGCCGGGCGCTGCGCACCCCCGCGCGACGCCGCTTTGTGACGTCACGGGGATTGAATCAATATCACACCACCAGTGCCCTCCCTCTGTCGTTGACGACGGTCCTCGCGCGAAACGGCAGACGGTCGACTGCCTCAGTACGAGGTAGCCTCCGCGACTGCTCGGGACGACGACGTACACGGCAGCGTCGTTCCGATCACGACGACGACGACGACGACGACGACGGTGGCGGCGACGGCGAGAATCACGATCACGGTTACGAGAACGACACGCCGATCCGTTCGATATCCAGCGCATCCCCTTCGGGACTGATAATTCTGTGCTTTCTGTCACGTAAAGCCGACTCTGCACCCCGTCTTCGTTGCCGGTCTCCTTACCTTGACTTGATCACTTGCGCCAACAACTGGTCCCACGTACTATGAGGTAGTCGCGGTTGCTACTTCTTGGATTCCTGAAGGATTTGGGAGAGCTGCTCAGCAAAGTCGCGAGGAACTTGCTCGTAAGTCATGTTGTAGTATCTCATTGATAGAGGGGATTTTTCAGTTAAGTGAATTGGAATTGTTACTCTGAAGCAAGATTGATAAAAAATATTAACAATCGTTTAATTGTATCATTTTATTTTGTATAAAAGTTGCCATACAGTTCGTTACAATTGTAATTATGCAAAACAATTTCGTTTTAATCAAAGCTATAACGCTATAAAGTAATTATCGACCAGCATTAGATTACAACTATAGCTGTGCAAAACAATTTCATTTTGATACGCTATAATGTTATAAAGTGGTTATCGATCAGTTTTAGAATACATACTGATACTAAAATAATATAAATCCACAAATAAAAATCAAAGTATGTATTCTTGCAGATGTAAAAATATGTGACTAGAGCACTTGTGGAACTCTCTCTCTCTCTATAACTCTATTTCTATGTCTTATATACTCTATATAATTTTATCAAATTCTCAATTTTTCTTACAATACATTTTCTTACAATATACTTTCTAACAATCTTACATTAATAATTAAATTTTAAACACTAAATTATAAACATTTGCAAACTAATTATGTGATCGATTAATTTTAACTTTTATTATCTAATCATTTGCCTATTTCTAGAATAAGGTGAATAATTTGCCTATTTCTATAATCAATCCTAAAATATATAAAAAGAAAAAGGATCAAAAAATTTAAATTTAAATTTTTTTTTATTTTGTTAAAATAAATTTAAAAATATTATTTTATTAAGAGAAAAGAAAATTTTATTAAATGTGTCATGGAAAGTATATATTATAAAATCTTGAAAATTTGGCGTTTATATATTATATTATAATAATAAAATTAACTGCAATCTGTGAAATGTTGTACCCGAAAATTTTTTGACATATTTCTGTAATCAGTAATATCAATATTTTTTTTCCAATGTGCGCATTACATTAATATAAACAGCAAGTTTCTAAGAATATAAGTTTCATAGCTGATTAAAAGATACTTGACGGTGAAAACAATTTCTTCGATTTAATATTAATTTCGATCTTGATGCACGTCGCTTTAAATGTAATATTATGTGAAACTCTTTACCTCAAGTCTTTTCTTGTTCTAATTTTTCATTCTTTTGTTATCGAATATCCATAATAACGTAATCTTTGTTTTTCCAGGTGAAGGACCGTGCTGATCCCCGTGATCGGTGCCGGTGCCGTGGGTGCAGGTGGAAGACGAGAGGGGAGGGTGGAAACGAAGAAACCAGGCAGACAGGGAAGCAGCGGGCTCGGTGAGTTGGGTGAAAATCGATGGCCATCAGCGCCCATGGGCGGCCTCGCGTTTAGGACAAGGAATAGCCCCTCCCAGAAGACCTCGCTCCGGTGGGGTGACTGCTGCCCCCCAAACCCCAACCCAGCGTCGTCGTCGGCCGCCTGGAAGCACCGTCATCAGGACATGCCACCGGTGCCCGTGTGAGGCTGCCCCCCGCTGTTGCGTGATTGTACCTCGCGGGGATTTCAAAGGTACATTCTTACCCCATCTAGTCGCGGATGATCACTCGCGCGACACATCGATTTACTTTTCGCCGATTAAAAATTCCTTGGCCATAAGTTCGTGAAACATTGAATAATATATTGGAAACTTTGGTCTTCTTCTTGTTCCTGAAGAAGGAGTCTGTTTGTCTTGTAAAAAAAATTCTTGGCTATAGAAGTACACCGATATTTTACAAACTAAGTCTCTTCCTTTTTTTGACATTTCAAACTTTCATTCGTTGAGGAAATAGAATTTTTATTATAATTTAATAAAAAACTATTTTTATTTCTATCGATGTCGCAGCACAGTTCAAAGAATTCAATATCATGTTTCAACCCTTATACTTATTTTATAACACAAATATTTCATATGTTCTTTGTGTAAATTAAAAGAAAATTTCTTTAATTTTTTTAAAGAAAAGGGTTGTAATTTTTTCTATTCTACGTTTCTGCGTAAATGCGTATCTGTATTCAATCAAAGTTGTGTCTTTTTGAAGCCGAGCTGCGCGACGCCTCGGGTAGACCGCGCCTAACAGGATTAGAGGGTGAACTCGCTCGAGCGATTTAAATGCCCCTCGGGTAGAAACATAATATTTGCGCTTAGCTGCACTTGTTGGGCGCGAGCGTGACGGCCACAGTGTTAATCAAGCAGAAGACTTTAATACTCTCTACGCGAAATTGATAAGTTCTTTGTAAAAGCCGCTGAAGCTTTTGCATCCGCGATAATATTAACCGTGATCGGCTGCTAGCGAACAAAGAAAGAGAATCCGTTTGTCTATATTTTTTGTTATGCTTTAACAGTCAAGAATGCAATACACTATGAACAAAGCGCCTGTTAAAAGGTCAATTCTTATTAAGCGAGTTTGCAAAGAGCAAGTTTGCGCGATTAAATTATAAAATATCACAAGTTAATAGATGAAATTCATTTAGTGATTGATTTACTATTAAAGTAATTTTTAGAAAGAAAAGAGTATATAATTTTTGCTTTCACGATATCTTTTTTGACTTGTCATAGTCTTTTCAATAATATTTTTTAATTATTAATATTCATATTTTCCAAGCGCGTTATGTATTATATTTTTTTATATTTTATCGATACTACATTCTTGTTTTGAAAGAGTTTATCTATAATAAGATAAGAATTGAAATGTTGCGAAATTTTCTCGAAATCTTTTTCGCCAGAAAATTTCGAGAGCAATAATTTTTCTAAAATTGTATGAATTCAGATATCCGGACGATCCTAAAGCGGATCAACCGCCGAACTTTTCGGACCTACGTCTCCGTCAGCTCGAGCTCGCGCCGGTGGACCTCTACTCCCCGAAGATGATTAACATTGCCGGGGTGGTTTCGATCGTTCTATTCTATCTGTTGATCCTGGGTGTGGGAATATGGGCGGCCAGGAAAAAGGAAGCGGGCAACGACTCCGAGGAGGAGGTTATGCTAGCCGGTCGTTCGATCGGGCTCTTCGTCGGGATATTCACGATGACGGCGACCTGGGTTGGTGGTGGTTACATCAACGGCACCGCCGAGGCAATTTACACGAAGGGCCTAATTTGGTGTCAGGCGCCCTTTGGATATGCCCTCAGTCTCGTTTTCGGTGAGTTTAAAACGCGTTTGGCGTTGTATTACTTATTTGTTACATTCGGGTATACATTGATCTTTAACTTCTTGACATACGATATATCCGGTACATCTAGTTACAAAAGATAGTAATTTATATGCTATTATAGCATTCTTTAAATTTTTATGTGAGAAAATTATGCGAATATTTAGTAAAAAAAATAAATTACCTTATGTTTTTCTCTATAAATTGGGTACTCGAGAAATAAAAAAGTTGCAATTTAAAGACAACAAAAAATGTATATTAATTTACACATTTTCCTCAAATTAATTATAATTTCCTTGATGTACAAATTCTGTTTTGATAACGTATATCAAAGTTGGAAAACTTGTATAAAAATATTAATAATAGTATCGGTACAGTGTAGAAACGCAGTTGAAACTTTTTTTTACGATATGTTGTATAAACTCTTAATCAGCCGGGTGGAATTTACAATCGCAAACTCGCAAAGACCGAAAGAACGATCGAGAGAGATTGTCGATCGATGGCATAGCTTTCTTTATACGACAGAAATGCTTATGGTCAAGCGTCACGAGTTACGACAATAGAATTCTTGTAATATAACAGACAGCTGAAGTCAACGAAGTGTTTGCTATCGACACTCTTGCACATATAAAGGCGGTAACTTTGTTACCAATGTCTCGCTCGCAGCGGAACGACCTCGACAAAGAATAAACGCGACTATAAGTCGTTCATTGAAAGCGTAGTTCGCCGTATTTATATCTATGAATGATCGTCAAGTAAAATTATATTGATGAAAAAAATTTATGAGTAAATTTTTTCAAAGTACTAAGTCCCCAGTTTTTTCGAAATCTCGTCTGCTAAATTTTTGTCTATTTTTTTCAATTTTTATGGAGCCAAGAAAATTGGAAAATATATTTTTTGTTACTTTGAATAATATATTAAATTTAATTTTTCTATTCGACACATTCTTTCGCGTAAAAATTAATTAGAAAGCACACAATAATTTAAATTATTACAAGACAATTAAAAAGAATTGTCAACAGAATCAAGCATTTGCAATATAATTTAACAAACTATCTTTTATTATTTAGAAAGCAGAACATTTCTTCGTATAAATCTATAAAGAAAAAATTGAATTTATACGCGAAATTCATAGTCTTTATTATTAAAAATAAATTACTTCATATACATATCGATACAATTGTTAAAAAATGTTTAAAAAAGTATTTAAAACATTAATAAAATAAAGAAAAAAAAATACTTAGTAAAATTCAAATATTCTTTTCGAACGATAGTCGTCCATCAAAAAATCTTTAATTAGAATATAAACAATCATTATAGAATTTTATTTTTTTATAATAAAAAATTTTAGAGATGTATCTTCGTAAGAACTTCCTCCTGTATCTAATAAACTAATCGCAATTATTTTAGTGATTCGTTCACAATTTTTGACAATTCTTTGTTCAGGTGGTATTTTCTTCGCGAACAAGATGCGACAGCAGGGGTACGTCACGATGTTGGATCCGCTTCAAGACGCGTTCGGGGAGCGGATGGGCGGCCTCCTCTTTCTACCTGCCCTTTGCGGCGAGGTCTTCTGGGCGGCGGGCATCCTCGCGGCCCTTGGCGCAACGTTAGCGGTCATCATCGACATGGACCAAGGCACCTCCGTCATTCTGAGTGCTTGCATCGCGGTTTTCTACACCCTCTTCGGCGGTCTCTACTCCGTCGCTTACACCGACGTCATTCAGCTCTTTTGCATATTCATCGGTCTGGTAAGTGATTGCAATCGTAATTGTTACATAAATGTATAACTTGACATCACGATCTCTCGACATATTTATTTTAATTGTTTTATTAATATGTTTTTTAAACAACTTTGGGGCAATTATTTAAATATACATGAAAGAGAGAGAGAGAGAGAGAGAGAGAGAGAGAGAGAGAGAAAGAGAGAGAGAGAAGTAAACTTTATTTAAAATTATACTAAAAATAGAATCATATTCTGTTATATTATTAAACTTGATTGCATGTTTCTTTTTGCATTTCAAATAGAGCGAAACTCTGATAAATCTATCTGTAGTTTGTTTGATCTCGTGCAATGGACACGGTCGGACGAGTCTCCGGTACAATACGAGCTGATCGATATCGTGGCCCCGCTATTGCGGGCGTTTATATTACCAAATTTATACTCGGTGACGTACAAGCGGTGACCCACTTACTTTACCGTTAAGAATACTATCGAGCCATTATTTCTGCGAGACTCTGTTGGGGAGATTTCTGTTACTGCGAACTTTAAAATTCAAAAATCTTATCATTTTAAATTCGTCAATCGTAATTAACAATTGAATTGTAAGAAGAAAAATGGATGTTCCTTGTTAAATTTATAAGATACTGCTTAAATTAATTAACGAAGATTAAATTTAATTTAATGAATTTTCAAGTATTAAAGAATATAATTCTAATCTGCATTTTCAAATTATAAAAATTTATTTTTAGCTTATAAAATTATTAACTTATTTTATACGTTTACGATATTTTCGTTTTGAACTTCGTAACTTTTCTTCCTGAATGCAAACTCGTCCCCCCATCACAAGGCCATCATTCATTAACTGTGATTAATCGCGATAATATCAGGGCTTTCAAAGATAATCGCAGTACCGAAATAGATGCTCTCTCTATCTAGAAAAAGAATCGGAATAGCTTGCATTACCAATTTAGAGCTTTATATTTTTTATTAAAATCATATGTGAATGAACTTTTAAGTAAGTTTTATTTTTATTAATATGATTATTTTCTCTAATTGTATTAATAAAAAAATTTAATGTAAAATAAATGTTATTTTATGATATTTTTATACATAGAAATAGATAGATTTATTAATGAGTACTCGTTTATTTTTTACAATAATTTTAATCATTGTGGAGCAAATAATTTCATTTTACTTTATATTAAAATAGCATAGTAAATACCGTAAATATATTTTATTAAAAAATTAATTTCATATTTTTTATATATATAAGATTAATTTTACAAAAGATAAATTACTAATCATGATATTGAGTAATTGAAAATATCAAGAATATCAGTATAAATGTCAATTCATATACAATGTATGCAATTTTGTAAAAGACAGCGTTGTAATGCTTTCTGTTGACAGTGGATGTGCATCCCGTTCGCTTGGACAAATCCGAAGGTAGAGTCCCTTAGTTCCATGGACGTTGATTGGATCGGCAAAGTACAACCCGAAGAGTATTGGTTTTATTTGGATTATGGTTTACTTTTGATATTCGGTGGTATACCTTGGCAAGTGTACTTCCAACGCGTCCTCTCCTCGAAAACTGCGGGGAGAGCTCAAATATTGAGTTACGTCGCCGCTGCAGGCTGCATCCTCATGGCCATTCCTCCCGTTCTCATTGGAGCGATTGCCAAAGCAACTCGTGAGTACTATACATTTAATTATCAATTAATTAATTGAGGTAGACTGAGGTAGACTGATCAACTTGTCATATCGCAATTTTTCTTTGTAGAAGATGTTTTTGCCGCGTCATATTTCTTCTTCAAATTTATTTAAATTTTATTTTAGACATTTTCATTAGATCTTTTTTTAGACGTTTATCGTTTTTAGAAGCGATATCTAATTCTCTCTATTTTATATATTATTTTTCATATAAATGTTATTACATTGAAATGGAATAAATATAAGCAGAATATTTAAATGAATATTGAAGTAAAATGCGCTGATAAATTTGATAAAGCAATGTTTTTTTTAATTTCTTTGCGATGAAGAAAGATATTTTAACTCTGCGGAGAAAGGAAATGTCGGTTAGGTCCGGCGATGAGAACGAGCCCCCCTCCCCCAATTTAAGTATATATTAATAATAAAACGAGGCGTCTTTCGTTTCGTCCTCTCCACCCCCGAGATCGTCACCGTCTCGTTCGAGGGTGCAGTAACGCGTCCCCTTGACGAGCCTCCCATCCTCCGGTACGAGAGGATCGAATTAGAGAAACCCGGCTTGCTCGTCGTCCCACGTTCTCCTCTTCGCATTCGAAGGCTACTTGACATTTGGTGGCGCGACAAGGAGAGAGCTGCTGGTATTTACAAGCGGCGCGATAGGGAGCGAGGAGGGGTTAGAAATGGTCGCGAAGGGGCGCGGACGGTCGAGGGGTGTTCCGGATGCCCTGCAGCGTGTACAATAGCGTGGGACTTTGCCATGTGGCGTTGCCTTCACGAGGGCGAGGGTCGTAATGCGACTCGGGTGCCCGCTACAACGCAAACGCGCGACCAGGTCGCCGGAACTAATTCGGTATCCTGCATTGGTATGTTGCGGAAGGATCACAGGCTGGAGAAAAAGAAAGAGAAACATATATATATATATATATATATATATATATATATATATATATGTAGAGACAGAGAGAGAGGGAGCTGAATTACGCAATCATGGGTGTGATATTAAACAAAAAAATATAGAAAACAAATAAATCAAAATAATGGGTGTGTCACTAAACTTATTACATTTGTCTCAAGTATTATGAAGTATTATAGGGAATATTATTCTTTAGAGTATTATTTTAGTTACATATGTTAGTTATAGCTGATATTTATATCAAATGCAATTTTTTATTGATATGTGGAAGGATGTTAAATGGATAAAAAAAAATAAAAATATAAATTATGCTCGTAAAAGCGAGACCGAATAGAAAATACTAATAAGTGAGACAAACAATAATAGATATTGAATTTAACAAAACTTCTCCAAAAGCGAAATATTACTTAAAAGATTATTATTTTATTTTTTTATTTATGTTAATTATTAAATATTAAATATTATAAATATTAAATATAATTAAATTTTTATTTTCTAAGTATCTTTATGATATTCGATATTTATAAAAATTACTTTAATTTGTTCTTTATTGAAAAAAATTGTGTAGAGAATAGAAGATATCCGTAGCTTGAATTTTTGCAGGTCTGTCGTCAGAAATGCAATTTTTGTGTTACAGCTTGGAACGAGACGGAATACACTGGTCCTTATCCTTTCACGGAGGCGGAAACCAGCATGATTCTGCCGTTGGTCCTGCAACATCTGACACCGAACTTCGTTTCCTTCTTCGGATTAGGAGCGGTATCGGCGGCGGTGATGTCTTCTGCGGACAGCAGCATCCTCTCTGCTAGTTCGATGTTTGCTAGAAACGTTTACAAATTGATCTTCCGTCAGCGGGTAAGTTTTTCTGCCATTATCTCGCTCGTCATTTTTTCTCATATATACTTCATCTTGCTTGCATTTATGCACATGGCGAAACCTCTTGACACAAGTATGTCACACATGTCGAAGCATATTTTTAACGCGTATAAGACGAGCTTTTATAACGAGCTGTGTATAAAACAAGATGAGCTTTCATAACAAGCCTCTAGTACGCAAAGTCTTCATGTTGTCATGAATATTTTGAAACTTAATTCTTGATAACTTTGTTCTCGTCTTTTTTTCTTTTTTAATTTTTTAAAAAATATCAATATTTATACAATTTAATTTTTTTTATTAACCTTTGATAAAGAAATATTTTCTTGTATAAATTATTTTTATGTAAAGTCAAGTAGATTTTTCTCAAAGTTGGAATATTTCTTTATCAATTATAAAAACATAATTTTTCGTATATTTCTAATTTTTTCTCTATAGGAACAAATTGCTGCATATATTGTATTATTCTGATTTACATATTACATATATTTGAATTGCATGAGTTGCACATTTAAATATTACGTTTTGCTCTCTATTGCATTGGTTTTTATTTACAATATGTTGGTTTTTATTTACAATATGTTACGCGAGCGTAGAATCGATTTCTCACGATTAAACAATTGTCATCATATCGATGAAATCTAATGCACGACACAAAAAGTGTATTTGTGACGAATTTCGCGGAATGTTGTCTCCATTATTCGTTTATCTCCGGTGACGCAACGATACTGACCCACCTGGGTCCGCGACCTCCTGTGCAGGCGTCGGAGATGGAGATCATCTGGGTGATGCGGGCGGGGATTGGCGTGGTCGGTGTGTTGAGCACCGTGATGGCACTCACGATACCGTCGATCTACGGCCTCTGGTCGATGTGCTCGGACCTGGTCTACGTGATCCTGTTCCCGCAGCTGCTGATGGTGGTGCATTTCAAGGACTACTGCAACACCTACGGCAGCCTGTCAGCGTATATAATCGCCTTCCTGGTGCGCATCAGCGGCGGCGAGCCGATGATGGGTCTGCCGGCGCTGATTCACTATCCGGGATACGACGAGGAGTCGCAGACGCAGATGTTCCCGTTCAGAACGTTGGCGATGCTGCTGTCGCTGATCACTCTGGTGGGTGTGTCGTATGGCACGCAGGTCGCCTTCCTGACCGGTCGACTCGCGCCGGGCTACGACGTCTTTAGGTGCGTAGTGAACATTCCGGAAGACGTCGAGCGGGTGGGCCCGGACCCGGCCGAGGGCGAGCAAATGGCGGTCCTAGCTGCGGGCGTCGGCAGGCTCTACGGCAGCAAGGACGAATCGAACGGCCGAGTGAATCCTGCGCTCGAGCCGGACTACGACATGGAGCCGGGATGTACGATGGTCGGCGGTGCCCCGGACGGCGTCGTCGGCGGCGGCGGTGGCGGCGGCACCGGGGGTCACCTGGTGCCGCACGTGCCTGGTGGTGCGTCTCGACAGCCGCAATCCAGCACCGCGTTCTAAGTCCTGGTTCCGTGATCGGATGCTGTGACCAACAATAAGTGCGGCGGTGCGGGTCTCTGTCTTTCGTTCCTCTTCCCCTCAGCTTCCCTTTCCAATTGTCTCCTCTTCTTCTATTTTCATTCACAAAGTTTCGTTTTGGTTTCCTTCGAACTCTGTTTTCTTATTAGACTCTTTTCGGTGATTTTTAGGTTGAAACTGATTAGTTACTTAGGAGTTTTCTCGATAAGATTCTGACGAGTGCAATCGGAGATTGCTTTTGTGTCGAAAAGTTTTATTATCCTCCTTCGAGGATTTTATTTCGATAAGTAAAATATATATATTATTTTTAAAATTTTTTAAAATATTTTATTTGCAAAGTTATTTATTTGCTAAAGATATTTATTATTCGACCTAGAAATTACGTAGTAATTTTTAAAATACTTTATTAAAATACTTTATTAAGATATTTATTTATTTACCGAATAATTATTCTATCTGAAAGAAATTGCTCTCGCTGGGAGCTGGGAGAATTCTCTTCTAAGAATTAATATTAGAACATCCAATTTATTTCCTTTACATATTGAAACGTAATTTATTGACGTGACACATAATCATATATCTAACTAACATTGCTTTCTCCGATAACCTGTCTCCGAGGGTTACGAATATAATTATCACGATTCCGTTAGATGATCGAAATCACCAGTGTGACATAAATTGCCCGTCGTAGGGTCGTTCCAGTGTTAATGAATTTTCGGACTTTCCAGTCAGTTATGCAATCTTATGGCGTTTTATTTAATACATACGCATATATACTTTTGCTTTTCCTTTTCCTACCCACCCTGTACGACCACGGAGCTCCGAGATGAGCCAACAATGCGGTGGCCTGCGGTAAGTTCGACACGAAGTTTCTTTCGTTCTCGCGCACGCGTGTGTGTGCTGTACGTATGAATATGTGCGTGTGTTTGCGAGTGTATGGGGTGCGTATGGGGCTGCGTGTTTGCGTTTGAGTGTATGTTTGCACGCTGCTGGTGCCCGTGTAACGATCTGTACCTGCCCGCGTTCCCTCGCGTTCGTGTTTCCCGTCGCCGCTCAAACGATCCGAGAGAAGGAGAGATAGAAACAAAAGCAAAGAGATGAAGGTGGATAGGAATAAAGGTAGGGTGACCGGAAAAATACGTGCGAGTGACAAGGGGATAAGCGTAGCGTTTCCGAACCGGAAGTCGGAGCTTCGGGCGTACTCGTGTCGGGCGTCCCTACCCCGCACCGCCAATTAGGCCTAGATTTCCTTGTTTTCTTTTTGGAGAAGTATATATATAATAGGTATATATAAACAGATAATATATACACACAAAGATATATATATATATATATTTAGAGTTTAACGAAAACCTGCTTGAAAGTGTCTCGCGAAACGATAAGCGATTTGCCTGATCCGAGAAAATCGCGAGAATCGCGAGGGTTTCCCATTGAAGCTGGATCGATCGCGCGGTTGCTTTGTTAGAAATGAATTAAACCGAACGGCCAACGATGTTTGTATAGAATTATATACGTGTAAACGTATATCGCGTACTTTCTCTCGATTTTGCGCACGAACGAGAAGGAGAATTCATCATTAAAAGCGAGGTCAACCGCAATCTCTGACCCCTGAAGATAATGCAACTTCAATCTTCGTCTTAATATGAAAAAAAAATTTTAATAGGATTGAAACTTGAAGTAATCGAAGTGTTTAGAAGTTATGAAGTAAAATGTCGAGAAAGAGTATGCAATGTGTGTGTTTGATATCTCTCATATTTTTACTTCGCGCGTTTCGTGCTAAATACATCTGATTCTTATCTTTAATCTTATCTTTAATTTAAGAAAATAGGATCAGAAAATGATTTTAAAGAGAAACGTGAAATAATCGAACAGATACATTTAGCACCACAAACGTACGGTAAAAATATGATTCGGAGCCCATGATTAATAATTATCGGCAATTATCATTTTATTTTTAGTGTGTCGTATTTTTATTGTGTCAAAACTTGGCAGTAATTATTATAAAGAAAATAATTTAGTATCAATGCACAGTAAAAAAATAAAATGTTAATTGTAACATTTTTCACATGTCCCAGAAAATTTATTGACAAACTAAAAATATTAAAAATGTTAAATAACTGACACAATACTTTACATTTATTCTTGTGATTTCAAGTGTAATGTAAAAATAACATACAAATTAATTAAAAATTACATGAAAAAATAGTTACAATAACTTATAAAAAATGTTGAAGATATTAACACATAATAGTAATTATTTTAACTTAAATTATTTGTAATAGAAACATTTAATTTTAGTAAATTTGATTATTTTTGTATCAAAGTAGTCAAAGTTCAAGATTATTTGAAGATTCACTTTAACTTTTCTTAGAATATTAAACTGACTTTGAGACATGTTGTTTACATGATTGTTTAAAATGATTATATTAAAAATACTCAAAATAATATATTCCATTTCTAAGAGACATGTGCAAAGTGTTAAGTTGACATAAATATAACACATGAAAACGTTATAAAAAAATAATAACATATAGGTTGTATGTTAATTTTACATTTTACTATCTGATTAAAACGTGGTAACACAAAAAAATTTTATAATAACATATAGACACACAATTTTTTAATGTGTTTATAACGATGAAATTATTTTATTATTTTTTTTGGAATTATTTCCTACGACAATGTTTTTCATAGATATTTCTTTTCTCGTTACGAAGATTCAACAATATTCTGGATACTCTTTGTCATATTGGCGATAAATATTATTCAACCGGCGCTCCTTCAAGGTGTGTTAGAAAGAAACTCCATCCATCCAGTATGCCATCCTATCGCGTCTCTCACTACAATTAGTTCGCGCTATAATTAGTTAATGTACGTTGTAATGTCGGCTATCCGTCGGTGTTAGGAGAAGAGCTAAACGAAGCTTTTGTACTTGCAATCGATCGTTCTTCCTTCGCTTCGTCCAGTCGAACACACAAGACACGCACACATACACATACACACACAGACACACATATCCATTTACGTGCTAGAGTAACAGAAATACATATGTAAATACATTGTTAGAACCGGGTGGCATCGGAGGATGATTTAGTTGAAAAATGACCGCTCATCGTAGGAAGTCAGGTTCCTCGCGATCTTATTATGCCGATCATGCTTTAAAAAAACGATTATGCAGATTTATTGCATAATTTTGATATTTTTATGGCTGTTATAAAATATGATATGATATTGATATGAAAAATCAGTATCAAGAAATATTTTATAAAAAATTAGTTCTAGGACTTTAGATTAATTCTAGAATTCTTGATTAATCGTGGAATCTAACTTCAGTTTTTAATAGATGTATTGAAATTTTTTCATATTAAGCTATTAATTTTTATATTAAGTTATTGAATTTTGTATCGAAATTCTTTCAGCGGTTAATAGTTTGCGTATTTAATTATTTAGAATATTTTTTTGGTATTATAATATCATAATATTTTTGCATTAAACGCGACTTGCGAAATCTTATCAGGCAGATCGCTCGTAGCGCAGATCCGTTGTGTTTATCATATAGTATATAACATAAATGTATGATGTAATCATGAGCAGTAAATGCAGTAAAGAGAGATGGGTGACTTAGCGAATAAAATGAGAAAACAAAGTTTTAGAGACCACTCTGTCTCTCTATCTCTATTTATATGTATACATACACAAATGTATACGTACACGTTATGCATACATGAGAAGACTAAAGAATCCATAGGTGTTAATATCGCAGGTACGAGTTATCGCCGTCATTGTTAATTTTGAGGATCCGTTTGTTACGTCGTTCATATATATATGAATATATATATTATAGCGCCGTTTTCGAATATGCTACACAATATACGCGCATGAATTGCCTAGAAAAGATATAGAATATTACGCTCGTTATACCTGATTGCTCATGTATTATATCATTATTTAACGCCAAAGAATGAGGACGCCGCGTTTCGAGACTGATATCAAGAGGCGGAGGTTTAAAAATTTTCGAGGAAAGGGATATAATTGAGGAGGGAATTAAAAAGAAAAATATATGGATGTATCAATTAATTAAAAGAAAATTAAAATATTTCCGAAAGTCGTTGCAGAAAATTGTAACGGAAGCGCTTAAGTTTTGTACAGATCCGCCTCTGTGATTTTCGTTACATGCGACTTTTCGATTTTGCAACATTACAAGCGTATTCACGGTTGCTTTTCGAAACGCGACGTTGCGTGTAATGAAAATGAGATGAGATACTTTAGATAATTTCGTAGTTAGTAGAACAGTTTTGTATAATCTTAGTTCCTACTCACCCGATGAATTGTGATAAGAGCGTCTCTGACTTGATAATTTTGCGCATGTAACGCGGTTAAGTTAAAATCGTATCGTTTAATCATTTTTCTTCTCACATCGTCGCGTGAATAACGATAAAGTCATCATGCTTACAAATCTTTAGTTACCATTTTTCCAGACAAAATGCATAGCTATATCGGTTGTTTTTACTATAGAACAGTGTGTGTGAGTCGAGTATATTTTTCTAATTTGCAAAGACATGTTTTTATTCTCTCGTTCGATCGGAATTGCTCGCTTGTTAAATTAATAAGGCTCACATAAGACTATAACTTGCCTCCGTATTAAAATTTTTGAATGTGCAAGATTATTACTTCATAGACAAGTAATAGCTGAAAATATGGAATCTCTTATATGTTTGAAACGAAAGAATTTTAATATCAATACTATTAAATGATATTAGATATGGAGGCGCTTTTAAATAATTTAATATTGTATATATGAAAGAGGAAAAAAGGGCAGGAGTGTGCGTGTGATGTATTTGTAATCCAAATATCAAGAGTTAAAGAAAGCTTCTTTTATACTTCAACGATATAGTAATCTGCAATATAAGGTAAAAGTCCTTTATGCGTAAAAAATATTCTAAGTTATCCAAAATATGTACATATATTTTAGCTCCGTGTGTCTTTACTACTTTTATAAACTGTTTATTTCAGAAAGTATTTTGAGTGTTGAAAATGTTAACATCTTTCTCTTCAGTTTCTAAAAACTGCTTACGATGATTCTTTTTTCCGCGAAAGGCCCGATTGCGCCAACATTATTTTAGCTTTATGCGAAACTCAAATAGATGTCTGTTTTTATTTATTTAGAAAGAAAGATAAAAATAGACATATATTTAAGTCTCGCTTACAGCTAAAATAACGTTGGTGCAACCGAGCCTAAGCACGTTTTAAACACAGTTTAAATCGTTCGTGGCGTCCATTCATGCGCCTTGTTCGTTCACGAGCTTCTCTTGCACAGAGTTATTCAATGAAATCGAGGTATCCTCGTGTCCAAGGATTCTTGTAGATCCCCGCAATTTGTCAGAGGTCGTTACTTTTGATGCGTTTCCTGATGCGTGCTCGTACTATCCGCGGTAAATCTCGATGTGAAATTATACGACGCGAGGATGCCTCGAGAGAGGATGCGCTCGCGCTTCGCGATGCGCGACTGGAAAGTGGGGAATACGAATAGAGCTGAGAAGCTCGTCGTCTTGGCATGCATCTCCGTGCATTTCCGTTCGTTCGTCATTAAACTTAGCGGACTTTCACTCGAATATTAAAGACGATGACGAGTCGGGCCGGCTAACTAATCGGAGACGCTCGTGGACAACGAGGCTCGTTGTTCGAGGAGAAGCAATTATTATCCTTATTATATTTCTGTCGAAGCTCGAAAGTATCGCGGTGCAATGAACCATGTTTAAGGCTCGCACCGGAATACGAAAGTATCACGAACGAAAGTTTACGCGAATTATTTTTGTACACAATGTTCACTTTCAGCTTTTCAGCAGCTGTGCGCGGGTTTTCCGAAGATTATAGTCGTGTTTTAGCAAGTCCACGGCTGTTTTCACGTTTTCGATGTCTTGGAATATCTATAAAAATATGCATACTTTTATTTCTAATTCGAATTAAATGACTGGAAATGAGGACTTTAATAGGATAGACTTTATGAATCCAATTTTTATGGTAGATTAAAATTTTTGAATCCATAAAATCTTGAGATCTTGTATTCTCATATTCTTGCATCTTTTCTTTCATCGCGTTTGTTTTTCAACATTCTCGCTCTCAAAAAAGATATATTACACTTTAATGTAATTATTTTAAATTCATCTGCATTGACTTAATTTTCAATCGAGTAACAATGACGAATGTTTATCTCGATCAGTGTTTGATATTTCATGATTAGTAGTCGAGTGTTAAATAGTTGTTATTGTTTTTTTTTCTACGAGCTTAAGGAAAGAGAATAAGTCGCGTGTCAAAAGCGCGGAAAAAAACTAATAGATGTTATAGCTTATGAGACTGCTCTCATAAGACGGCCACGTATCATCTACATATCAATGAACGTTGTAATCAGCGATACAACGAGAAACCTATACATATCATAAAGTGTGCTCTATTGTATATTAGATAATTTAGTCGCAGAGAAAAGAGGAGATTCGTAATAAAATATATAACAATATGAGATATGTATATGAACATATATCTCTTCTTTGGGAGACGTTATCATTTTTTTTAATCAGGGCGAAGGAGGTGCTCGTGCTTCTTTTGAGCCAAAGTATTTTTTTTTTAATTGAATGTGAAATTTTCTATATTTTTTTCATATAAAAGATTCTCATAAGTAATAATATGAATTATTTATATCATGATAAGATATTGATATTTTTAACTAATTTAATACATTAATTATTAATATTAATTTATACATTTCAGCTGTTTTTTCAGCGAAAAATTATTCCCTTTTTATTTTCGATCGGAAAACTATTCTTCAATCCAAAGAAAATCAACTTAATCTAGAAAAAAACTTGCGTATTTAGAAATTTATTACTCCCTGTAGAGCGAGGTTAATTCGTCGCGAATCGATAGCCAATATTCTGTATTATGTAAAAAAAAAAAAGAAAAAGAAACGAATGCGAAAGGCCGCGAATCAATAGCTGGATAAGGATTAATGAGGACGATCTCTCCGACTGGAAATCGTCGATCATTTTATCGTTTAGAGACCAAACAAATGGCGTATATCTATACTAATATTACGCATCCCAAACGCACGGGGTGACTACCTAATGTAGAGTATTTATTAATCATGTATAAAAACAACAAGCGGCTCTCAGACCCTTTCCCTCTTCCCTTCCCCCATCCTCTTATCCTTCTCGACCGAAAGATTATACCTATGTATATGTATTACAAAAGCGTTACTGTATTATAAGAGACATTATACGTGTATAATTGACAAACGAAAAAAATGTTGATTGTAAATGTTAAAAATAAACGGTGTACAAAAACGTCGGACGGTTCTTATTCGGCAATTACGTCGCGATGTTCTATCATCTCAATGAGATGAGTTACAGCTCATCCGACATTGTCTTCTCCTTCTTCAAACTCGATATCCAAAAATAAAGGTTTATTTACTTCGAGGATTGTGGAGTACAATGTTTCATAATAGCATCTTGAGCGAATAATGCAAAAGCAGATGAGTCAGTTCGAAAATTGCATACTTGAGGAAAGAGAAGAGAGAACGTTTTTAAAATTATAAATTTACAGAGATGAAGAAGAAATTTACAGAGATCAAGAACTTATGTTGTATAATAAAAAAAAAAAGATTATTGTATGAATAATAATTTCAAGAAATGTTATTAACTCTCGAGTCGCGACTGTGAATGCGACCCTGTTGTTAACCTTTACATCTTTCAAAGATTGTGAACTTTGATATTTGAAATGAGAATTATATTCCAGAGACATTACGTTGTACAAAGAATTAAAAAAGAATGAGAAAACAAATTTAAAAGAATCTATAAAAAATCAACTTGCATTAATTTGTTAAAATATAAAATAAATAACCTAAAAACCTACTTTAACAAAATAATCAAGATTATTTGTTAGTAAAATTATTATATAAATTTTAGTTATGCCATAAATAGATTTATATCATCCTCATCCTGGAAATGTAATGTAAATTTAATAACAGAATGGAACCAGGAGCAGAAGCAGCTAGTTGCAATATTTACCTGGATCATCTAGCGAGAAACCCGAAGCTCTCTCGGGATTAATCTTTGAGCGTTGGAGAATTTCATAGCAGCCATTCGATTGCACGTTTCAATTTTGCGATCCCTTCAAACGACGTGGTCAAGAAATACGAGGGCATGACTCGCGTTGAGGTGGCCGCGGTGGAGCCTCGGATATCGATATGTGCTTTTAGACATTCAACGACAGGAATAGAAAGAGAGCTCTTAGTTATTCATGCCTTCCCGGTATCCGAGCCATGAGAATCGATAAATCGACCGTTTGCCTGTGTCGGCCGACTAACCTTATGCCAAGTTTCTCCGTCTCGCTGGTCGTCTTCCTGTACGATTGGCCGAATTTTCGTCGAGAAGCGAATGCATTTCCACCGGACATTATGATAATTAATTGGCGAAATAAATCGCAAGTAGATTTTATCAGATTTTATGGAAGAAAAAGATGATTGCACGATTAAGAAAAAAAAGGAACTCAAAAAATCGAAACTTTGCTTTCTGATTTTGAAATATGGATCCAGATAATGGATGCTTGTAGCAAAGTAACGAAAAATTCTCAAGCATGCTTATTTTATATAAAATGAGGTGATGTTCCTGAAAAAATATATTAGGTTTTTTTTATTCATTACGAATTGGAATGGAAATAATAAGTTAATAAGACGAGATTCTTATCAGCGTACAGCGGCTTTATTATTAGTACAAAAAGCGTCTTTACAAAATAAATAAGTTACAGGCTCCGAATGTGGAAAATCGAGCTTTGTTCGTCTTGTTCGTTCTTTTACTCTCTTCCTCTTTGCTTTTGGCATATCTTTCGATATCGGCAGTAACGATGCGCTTGTCTGGAAGCGTACGGAAGAGATGACATAGCCGTGATTGTGAAAAAAAGGAAAAAAGATCGATGCTTTGCTCTTTCGGCCATTAGCAGGAACGCGCCTGCCATGTATCAGGTATCATAATATTGTTCGCAATTTTCCCGACCGAAAACCTATCGTTGTTGTTAAATCTTTAGCACGAATTTCGCGGATTTACGATGCGACGAACGGTCTTCGCACGCTTTCCCCGTCGGCTGCCAAGCAGAAATGTTTCTACGGAAGACCTCACAGATATATCTGTCTTTATGATTGTCACTCACGATTATCGAAGATATATTCAATGATAACGAGATACCTCTAGCGTGGATCTCCTCTGTTATATATGACATTATCAGCGCTCATGTCTAGGACATCTTCATTAATAATTATGAGCTACCTTTTAATTAAAATTGGCCTCTCGATTAAGGGCGATCGACGCCCATTTCCTGATACACGGATCTATCAAACCGATGACTCTTGATGTCCAGTCCGAGAAACTTGATGGAAGCCGACGCGATCGAGCACGGAGATCGTTTCGCCGAGTGAACACGTGTCTGGATTAGTATTGGTATCCTCCATTACTGGCATAACTCTGTCCGCCTCCACCGCCGCCGCCGCCGCCACCGAAGCTCGGTGCACCGTAGGTCGACGATGGTCTGCCACCTCCGCCGCCTCCAGAGTATCCGCCAGAGCTGAGGAGGAAATCATGAGAAGAAATCATGAGGAGAACGTTCGATCGATAAATTTATGAATAAATGATAAAGAAACAATAAAAAATAGACATTTGAGTTTGAGATTTTAAAGTAAATAATCAATTTCAAAGAGTTGAACTCTCTTATTAAGCTAGATATTACAATAAGCTGTGTCTTGCACAAAGTTGATTTTGCATTATCACAGACTAATTTCGTATTTAATCGTCACGAATATCTTCTTACCCGCCTCCACCGAAACTACCACCACCACCACCACTGGATGGGGCACCATAAGACGTTGACGGTCTTCCACCACCGCCGGAATATCCGCCGCCGCCGCCACCTCCCGAAGGTGCGCCGTAAGAGGAAGACGGCGGCGCTCCGTAGCTAGAAGACGGTGGCCCTCCTCCGCCAGAACTAGGCGCCCCATAACTGCTGGACGGCGGTGCTCCATAGCTGCTGGACGGCGGTGCTCCATAGCTGCTGGACGGCGGTGCCCCGTAGCTACTGGAAGGAGCTCCTCCGCCAAAACCACCTCCGAATCCACCGCCGCCACCACCGCCGAATCCGCCGCCACCGCCAAATCCACCGCCACCTCCGCTAGAAGGTGCACCATAGGTCGAAGACGGACGTCCTACCGATGGCGTCCCATAGCCGCTGGACGGACGGGACGGAGCTCCGTAGCTAGAAGACGGTGGCCCTCCTCCGCCAGAACTAGGCGCCCCATAACTGCTGGACGGCGGTGCTCCGTAGCTGCTGGACGGCGGTGCCCCATAGCTGCTGGAAGGAGCTCCTCCACCGAATCCACCGCCGCCACCACCGCCGAATCCACCGCCGCCGCCAAATCCACCGCCACCTCCGCTGGAAGGCGCACCATAGGTCGAAGACGGTCGTCCTACCGATGGCGTCCCATAGCCGCTGGACGGACGGGACGGAGCTCCGTAGCTAGAAGACGGTGGCCCTCCTCCACCAGAGCTAGGCGCACCATAACTGCTGGACGGCGGTGCTCCGTAGCTGCCGGAAGGAGCTCCTCCGCCGAAACCACCCCCGCCGAATCCACCGCCGCCACCACCGCCACCACCTCCGGACGGTGCCCCGTAGCTGGTTGAAGGGGGTGCTCCATAGCTCGTTGAGGGGGGTGCTCCATAACTAGAGGACGGCGTTCCGCCGCCACCAGGGTATCCACCGCCACCGCCACCGCCACCTTGACTGGGCGCTCCATAAGTCGAGGACGGTCGACCACCTCCGCCACCTCCGCCAGAGTATCCACCGCCACCTCCACTACCACCTCCTAAATTAGGGGTGCCGTAACTGGTCGAGGGTGGCAGATAGTTACCCGAAATTGGCGCTGAAAATAATACTAGATCTAGAATTGCCGTTTTAAATAAAATATTTCTAGGTGAGGGTGGGATTTAAAAAAATGATATATCTTATATATCTCTTTTAACTGAAAATTCGATTATATTTTCATTAATTTTACGTCCAAGAAGGAATAGTTATTCATTTTATTCAGAGATACGCTCTTTCTTTGATTACACACATTCTTTGCTCTTGACTATTCTTTCAACTTTTACTTTTCTGCATTACTAATGACTTTTTTATTATATCTGTGTTTGTAGTGTCTTGGTGAAATTACTATTAATGAGAAACTTTATTGTTTGCGGCGAAGTCATTGGTGATGAGATAGTAAATAATGAACTTCGACAGCAACATAAATGCTATTGTCGAAGTTCATTATTTACGATCTCATCGTCAATTGCTATTTCCTAGCAATCGAGAGTCAATACGCAGTAGAAATTCGAAAACTTTATTTTCTCTTTTGTTCAACAAGAATTGAGAAAGATGTTTAAGTAATCTCATCACGATGATACTTCCACCGGCGGAAGTTTTACTTGGTCGTATATTTAACGTCTCTTGAGGATAAAAATTTCCGAGATCAACAGCGCGTAAAGTCGAAACAATTTTCTAAAATATAATAAAGCAAAAAAAAATCATATGAAGATTAAAATTTACTCGGCACATTTCATTATATTTAAATTCACTCTTTGATTAAAGTATGCACGACGTTATGAGTCCCTCGTACGAGTGAAAATTATGCTCACGTCGGAGATTCTTCCACCGATCCAGTGTGCGACGTAATCAGACCGTAACGATTTCTTATCCGCTACCTGCTCGACGCATCATCATCATCATCGGCGGGTTCGTCATCTCGCCGTAAGAGAGAAAGAGCAATTACGTGCGCACGTGTCGATTGAGACGCCAACGCGAAATTTTCACGATAATCGCACGCGTGGAATTTTTTACGCGTTAACGCTGATTGAGTCACGCTCGCTTTCATCGCGCGCTGATGCACCGGAACGACGCGTCCGATTGATTTATCGCGCGAACGTGACGCTTGAAGAAGCGATTTATCGCCGGTATCGCATTTATAGCTAGGATCGGCAATCGTTGAATCCCGGTGTGTTAATTAATCCTTGATTAGCGATTCGCCATTCTCTTTTGTACCCTTCTGTCTATTATACAAGCGCACTTTTAATTCAGCCCGTTCGATCTCGCAATCGAAATTAGCTGCCGTCTCGATTTTGAGAGGAATGAATAATTCATATTAATGAAATGGAATAATAACTGAAATAACGCTCGGGCTTCGATTGCGATGCACAAGGATCGGACGAAACAGAAAACGGAGAATATCCGGTAAAACGTTTTGAAAATAGTAAGATACGTATAAATATAAGATATAAAATAAAATAGAGCGAGAAATATAAAGACGATTTGTGTTATAAAGCCGACACGTTTAGGTGAGCAATAAGTCCAGGTTTCAACGAGACACCTTCGCTCATTAAACGACGTATCTCGCGTATAATCAAGGTTCTGCAATAATTTGCAGCTTAAACAATGACTAATCCCGCTGAGTACATACGTGACGGTTACATGTGTGAAATCGAGACAATCGCTGCACAAAAGTGTGATGAAGTTTCAGCTTGCACGCTTTCGAACTAGATTACGCTAGATCGCGAGTGATAACGTCCTGATTTATACACCGATTCAACACGCCATGCGCAGTTTGCTAAAGATGCTGACCGATAGCTCACGTCGCCCTAATGCTCGACTATTTCAGGTCTCGCGCATTTTCTACTTTTTCGTACGCCCCGATTTCACAAATTCGCCTGTGCCACTTGAAAGACTGCGCGAAAAAATATGGAATCGTTGAAATGATCGAAAGAAAGAGGAAGTTTAGGAAAATTTTTCGAGAACAAACTACGATAATCTGAGATACAAAAACATGTTTGGATAACGAAAGTGCCAATTATTGCTGTACGCTTACTTGATGGCGTGCGTTAAGTGCGTGCAACTGCATAAAGTAGTACGCCAACAAGAGTGCTTGAATAGGAGACTTGTATCGATCCGAAATACGCTCGCACTTTGCAAAACATTCTAATTAGGACTAGAGTACCTGTATAGCATCTAATAAGAAAATTAATAAGAACGTTATGCGCTTTACGCTTGAAGAGCGTTGAAAGCAATATGAGGGACTTAATCATCGTAATTTAAATAATTAGTAACTTGTTTTGGATCTTAATTAGATATTCCGTTATCTTGATTTGTGATAGCATAATGGGTGCATTATCGTGAATAATATTGTGAATTGTATTTTTTTATCAAAAGAATATTTTTATTCGTACTTGGCACTAGTTTAGAAATTATAATTTTCATGAAATCTCACTTAACATGTGAATGCTGATGATTAGTTGGTTGAGAGTGAAAACGTTCTTTGAATCGTCGCGCGATCTCTTCGCTATTTTCTCACTCGTGCAAAAACAAAGCGCATCGCGGGACATCTGTTAAGCATCCTAACCGCGGACTTTCTAAGTTCTCCTATATGTTGTATGCAAATTAAAATATTATAATGATGACAGTACTAATTAAAAATATGACACGAGCCTATTCACGTAATGCGTAAATTTAACATAATGTGTTTCTTATACACAATATTATCTTTTAGATTTTATTAAATTCTACTAAAAAACGTTACTCGAGCAACTTTTGTAAATAAATTTAGCACGGCATGATATTAAAGAGGAAGGAAGACGATTAATGTGATGCAAACAACTTTAATATATTATAAAAGTATCCTTCAAAGTTACTAATGCGATTTATCATGTTTCATGTAATATATAATATATAATTTTAAGGCTATTTCTACTTTCGTGACATTAATTGATTTATTACACTCTTCATCTAATAATATAAAATATTAATTGTGATGGGATTTCTCAAGTCTCTCTTGTGTTAATACAAAATTAATTTTCTACTTAATTCCACGTCTCATATTATAGAAAGTTAACACATTTTCTTTTTAGAGAAACCTTTTCAAACTCGACATGACATCGATATGAATCCATCAGCTGTGATCTTTCATTCTGCATGTCACGATATATCTAGCGTACTATTCTTTCATAATCAATAAAAATCGCGTCATCTGTCTAAGTTCGCGAATTGTGAAGACGCGATGGGGTAGTTTCGGCTCACGAGACTGAAGAATCGAAGTTTGAAGAAAGAAAGTTGCGGATCCTCCTCTTACCCTCGGCGTAGATGGGTCTCAGCAGCAGGGTCGTGGCCAGCACGGTCGCTGCCAGAGGAGCCCAGCTTCTCGCGGGTCTCATGGTCCCCGGCGATCGAACTCTTGTAGATGCCTTTGGAGTCTCTCGTCGCGCCGAGTCACATGCACGAATTTGCGTTCCTTGCGTTCGACCGAACGCGACTGACGTTGTAGTTGTCTCTCTCTGTCTTTCTCTATTTTTCGAAGATACCGTCTCTCGCGTACGTGATACTAAACGAAAAGAAACAGATGCGGCGGCTCGACGTGGCCTGCTCGACGCACCCGTGCGATTTCGTCTAACGTGCTTCAAACAGCGTGCATCTCGCTTATATAGTTGGCCGTCTTTCGGAGAAAGTCCTCGTCGCGCGAGTGCAAGAGGATGCTACCGACCAGGTGAGACACCCGGGGAACGTGGGAGGTAGGTGCGCGAAGGGGGATGCCGCCGGGGGGAATAGACGAACAAAATACACCGCGTAAGAATTGCCCGAAGTGGGGATCGAAGGACCATCGATTGCTCTCCGGAGGATCGGTAACGGGATGCTCGCTCGCGGTTGACCCTGGTCAGGCGGCGCGTTAACGAGGCGGCCCTTTTTTTCGTCCCGATGACGGACGGACGTTCTCTCGCGGCGGGAACTTGGCGCTCTCGTTGCGAGAAATGTTGGACGGCTGTGGCCTTGGTGTCATCTGGCTCTGATCGGATCAGCGAAAGTAATACAGCATCGTTTTCAAGCTGTAAACCCGACGCGAGGCGAGGGATTCGAATCGATAGGAGATGAAATATTCCATCGGAAGATCAATCATGACTCACTCGAAACATCGTGAAGATTTCAAAAGGATAAATTTCGATTTCAACGATGCATAAAAGTAGAAAAATGCGGCAGTAAACGATTTTTTCTTTAGCGAGAATTTTTCTAACATTCTGTAGATGTAGAATATTTTTTTTTATAATTTTAAATTCCTAAAGAATTATTTTCCGCCCGTAATCCACATAAATTTCGAGTGAAATGAAACGTTTACAAATCGATAATTTATAAAAAATATACGACACATTATGAATGCGCTATGAGTTGTTTGTTTCACAAGCGACCTAAGTAAAGTTTCGAAAATCTCCGCGTCATTCTTTCAAGTCCTTTCTCCCAAAAGTAAGTCCAATGAAGACCATCTGTAAGCAAACAACGTGCGATCGAAAATTGTTCGCTCGTTATTCGTCGCACGCGCAGCTTCACCCGAGAAGCATACCTGTCGACTAGGAACTAGATAACTAAATCGAAACAGAGAGGATACAAACATCATATTGGCATTATAATATTCCTCGAGATTGACAAATAATAAGAAAAAGTGAGAAAAATACATTTTATGCTCCTAAAATTATAAATATATATTAAATATACATTAAAATAAAAAATATATATTAAATATATATTTAAAATAAAAAATAAAAAATATATATATTAAATATATATTAAAATAAAAAATAATTAATAATTATATGCTATAAGAATATGTATTTAACTCTTAAATTCAGTTAATGAGATTTATAATTGATTATTGCTCGATTAAAAATTTTTAGAAGAAGTACATTTTAAAAGAACGAAGAAACTGACTATAATAAAATAAATTTTGCGATTTGTCAAATGTTATATAAGTGTCAATTTCAGGACATTCAGGTGATATTTGAGCAATTTGCTTGAAATGTTTCGCTCTAATCCATTGTGATTTCTAGGTCGAGGACAGATCTATCTATACATGAAGCCACTCGCAAAAATGACGAGATCGTCGATAAATATCGCATATTGTCGCGAAGATCATTTCATGACAACCTCCTAAAAAAGACAAACAAAGGTATACTCGATAATAAGATATCTCGCGTGCGGGTCTCTTAAAATCCCACGATATTCATTAATCTCTGGAATTACATCATTTTATAAGTGAATTCTCGAAATTTTTGCACAGAAATCGTTATTTAAACGCTTTATGTCTAATAAATACCTCGGGTTATTAACTGCAAAGGAGTGATTGATTAAACGCGAAGAAGAAATGAAAGTTAAGCAAGGAAAGTTATGAAAGGGAACATAAACGCGGAGGTAAAGACTTCTTTTTTGCGTCTGAAACTATCGCGTATACATATGTACATCTATATAGTACACACAAAGAGATGTAGCGCGCTTCATAATCGGCTAAGTGCGACGTTATTCCGGCTTGATCAGCGAGAGATTCTAAATTCTTCCTCTCCGCGAACAATTTTACTCGTTGTCCTAAACGCAAATGGCGCAACATGTAGTATAATCGATAATTTGTAATAGCGGGAGTCCTCGTATAAATTGTGTTCCGTTTCGTTGCTTGTTTCGTAGCCGGAGGCGCGATATTGCGTCACGCCCTAAGCATAATAACTTAATAGCGCATACGCGGAACGAGATGATAGAAAGAGAGAGAGAGAGAGAGGAGAGAGAGAGAGAGAGAGAGAGAGAGAAAATTCTGTTGGAGCGCATTTGACGCTCGTTGACGAAAATGATTAACGTGTGGTATGTTGTCACGACAATGATTAATAAAATAGGGAAATAAGGAATTATGAAATACATACACGATGTCAGAATGATTGAAACGCTTCTTATTTAATTTAATCGAATTCATTCCGTAAAACATAGATCAAATAATATAATAACAATTATTCGGGATTAAATATCTCTCTATATATACTAGTACATCTTCACTCTTTATCAATTATATAAAGAAATCAATTAGCTTAATGATTTTAATCTTTTTAGACAAAATAATATTAAATATTATTTAATAATAAAAATGTATATAATATCTATATTAATATTTTTATTTATTTAATATTTATATTAATAAATTATAATAAAAATATATAATATATATAATAAAAATATTTATATTAATAAATTTAATATTTATATTAATATTAAATTATATTTAATTTATTCTCTCAAGAATTTTATACACTTTTCGTTTTTATAAAAATTGGAATATTTTACACTAATAATTTTTATTTATAAACCATCGATTACAAAGAATCGTGAACAGCTGACCGCTACCTATGAATAATCTCGACAGTATTTCAATCAATATCGTTGGTAGCCGGTCTAATTAACGCGCGTGACAAGTCGCGGAGAGGAATCTCTTTACGAACGCGAAGTTCACGAAACGATCCCAACACCTACGACGCTCTCACCGATTGCTGAAAGAGTGCCGCTCTTGCTAAATCGACGATTTATTATTGCTCGTGTAGCAATAACGCAAGCGCGGCGCGAGATGCGCGCTTGTATGCGACTACGACAATATTGCGGTAATGCGGATCGCTTGCTGGCCCGGTTTCAAGTGTCTCGATCTTGATCGATTATTGCGACATAATTGATGTGACGTGCCGCAAAAAAATGTACAAGCGATCAACCGGCGCATCGATCGATGGATCATCGATTGGCAATATTTGACGGATGAGTTCTCTTTTTGCGCGTGTTTTTTCAACTCGTAAACAGTTTTACAAGTGTTTAGACACTCAGATCATCAGAAGAGTCATAAGATAATTTGAAATAAAACTTTTTATCGATTTGGAAATTTGAAAATTTATTTATTAGCAAAATCGATATCTTTTTATTTTGTTAATTGATATATGTCATAGAAAAGTTTTATTATATTAGGCGGATTAGTATTTAGGAGATTTCGAAATTAATTCGTAAAAAAATTAATATTGGAATTTAAAATTATCTGCAATTCAGCAGAAAGAGAGAAAAAATTTATTTTTTATTATAATAAGTAAAAATATTGAATGCAGGCAAAATACACGAAGAATTAATCGGGAGCGACGCAGGTTGATCCTTTCGAAAGTCCCACACGTACATTATTATTAGTCTGATTTATAGCGAGAAAACTTATTAATTACTCTTATGCACGCGCAGCTTTATGTATGCCGTTAATTGTTGACATTTTTCTCTTTTACCATGGCAATTGAATTACGTAACCGAAGATGCTTTACGTTCTAGCTACCGAGATTGCGATTCGTCTGTCGCGTCATAAATTAAAAACTAGACGTGACTAAATGAGGAAACATTTCTTCGAGAAAGCTATTCTCGCGCCGACTTAGTAGATTAATTTTTTTTATATATTAAAAGAAAAGAAATATTTTTCTTGTTCCTTTTTTAACTCAGAGAATAATATTGCAAATGTCGAGTCCACCGATATATCCCACAGATCGGAGCATGTTACTCTGTTTCGTGAACTGCACCTTGAGTACCCTCTGAAAGACGCTGGACCAGAGCAGACATTTTTCTCTTTTACCATGGCAATTGAATTACGTAATCGAAGATACTTTACGTTCTAGCTACTAAAATTACAATTCGTTTGTTGCGTCGTAAATTAAAAACTAGACATGACTAAATGAAGAAACATCTCTTCGAGAAAGCTATTCTTGCAACGACTAAATAGATTAATTTTTTATACATATTAATTCTTGCGACGACTAAATATATTAATTTTTTTACATATTAAAAAAAAGAAATATTTTTCTTGTTCCTTTTTTAATTCAGAGAATAATATTGCAAATGTCGAGTCCACCGATATATCCCACAGATCGGAGCACGTTACTCTGTCTCGTGAACTGCACCTTGAGGACCCTCCGAAAGATGCTGGACCAGAGCAGACATTTTTTTCTTTTATCATGATGGCAATTGAATTACGTAATCGAAGATACTTTACGTTCTAACTACCAAGATTGCGATTCGTCTGTCGCGTCGTAAATTAAAAACTAGACGTGACTAAATGAAGAAACATCTCTTCGAGAAAGCTATTCTCGCATCGACTAAATAGATTAATTTTTTTACATATTAAAAAAAAAGAAATATTTTTCTTCTTCCTTTTTTAACTCAGAGAATAATATTGCAAATGTCGAGTCCACCGATATATCCCACAGATCGGAGCACGTTGCTCTGTCTCGTGAACTGCACCTTGAGGACCCTCCGAAAGACGCTGGACCAGAGCAGACATTTTTTTTTTTACCACGATGGCAATTGAATTACATAATCGAAGATATTTTACGTTCTAGCTACTAAGATTGCGATTCGTCTGTCGCGTCGTAAATTAAAAACTAGACGTGACTAAATAAAGAAACATCTGTTCGAGAAAGCTATTCTTGCGCCGACTTAAGTAGATTAATTTTTTACATATAAAAAAAAAGAAATACTTTTCTTGTTCCTTTTTTAATTCAGAGAATAATATTGCACCGATATATTCCACAGATCGGAGCACGTTACTCTGTCGTGAACTGCACCTTGAGGATCCTTCGAAAGACGCTGGACCA